GCGGAAGTGCAAACGGCTCCAGCACCTGGAGAAGAGCAGCCGCTAGATAGCGAACAGTCTCAGGTCCAGCCCGAAGTCGTCTCTGACGCTCAATCAGAGATTGTGCATGCGCAGGGCGAGGATATATCTACCTCTCGTGAGCGGGGTGATGAGGCTTCACCTGAGTCTGAGGCGCATCTAGCCCAGCCCGAGAAGTCCGAACATAAAGAGTTAGATCACTTCGATGTGTCCCATCTCGAGAAAGACCCTGAGCAAGAACATGACCATGGCCATGCTGATATGAACGAAGAGCACTATGATTCTGAGGGCCGGCAGAGTGATTCTACCGCCACGGTAGCTGCAATGCCTGGTGCAAGTGAGACCAAAGAACACACCCAGCATATCCCTCTAGACGTTGCCGTGGACGCCGGTATTGATCAGAACGACGAGGAGGACTATTACGAAGAGGACCTTGAGAACGATGATCTGGGAGCCCAGGGATATTACGAGCACGAAGACATCGGCTCGGTCGATGATTCAGAGGCCTTCCAAGAAGATGTCGCTGGCCGTGAAAATGCTGATGTTGATGTTCAAGAACCAGCTGATCAGGCGTTTATGCTTGATGAAGAGGACGCAGATGAGTTAGATGCCCCGCCGACAGATGAAGTTGTTTCAGAAATTCTCCTGCGAGATGAAACCAACCACCCTTCCCATGACCAGCCGGCACCGCCGCTTGACGGCGGCTTGCATGATGCATCTGACAAGAAGGAGCAAACACTAGAGCCCGCAGATGATTTACTTGGAATCGCTGTAGACCTGATGCAGACTCCCCCGAAAGATACAGAGAACGATGCCCTTGATCACTTCGAGGGCATAGACTACGACGAGGCTGAGGATGATCTCGATGCTCCTGTTGCAGCTGATGATGAGGGTGCCGATGATCACGAGTTTGACGAGAACCATTTTGACGACTATGACACCCATTTTGAATCGGAGGCTGTAGAGCTTGGAACAGACCCTTCCTTGACCGACCCCCAAACCAACCAGAGCTCGTCTGCCAAACGGTCTCGCGAAGATGAAGACGACTGGGACTTGGTGGAAACCACCGCTGACCCCAAACGTCGCCGCTCTTCGTAAACCACGTTCCACCCCTTTTTTCCAAAAAAAAAAAAAAAAAACTCCTGGGGTTTTTTTTTACAATATCTCTCATTCGTCATGTCTGGTGCCTAGCAGTTTGACCCTCGATGGCTCGTTCTACACGACCTGTTACCCTCCAACATACTAATCCCGTACTGTACTTTCCAGCAACGACCTCGACCCATGGACGCAGTGTCTCATTCGAAATACTAACAAGAAACAGGTATGTTCGGCCCCTTCCCCAAGCATGCGCACGCCTTCAACTCTATTGCGGCATCCGCTTTCTCTTTTTTTCATCCCTCATCTGGACCGAACACCGGGTGCTCCTGACACATCATTCAATTGCCCATCATCTATTCTTGCGTTTGCTTATTATTGCGTCCTTCTACTTTTTCCCTGCCATTGCGATTCAAGATACCACTGCCGGTTTTCGACCTAAAATCTTTGTTCGGTGTTGATGGGCGCCGGTTTGGGCGTTTCAATTTTTTTTTCTCGATGCATTTCCTTTAGGATCTGGCGTATCGGCGCGATGGGTTAGTCCACGTGTTTGTAGTATTCTACCAATGAATCTTTACCCCACATGTTTTTCCAGATGCCCAGGTGAATGTTGTTTAAGTACTTCCGAAAAACATATCTTTAGCTTCTGCTTGTCCACTTGTATAAATTAAGAAGAATGGGTATATCTGATCTGATACCCCCAGATTTGAAGTGCCCAACTTCCTAATTTCGCTTATATTATGGGGCACAGTGGACAGACATTCCGGGGATGGTGGGGGGACATTGTAGAATAGATGTATGCTTGCAGGTAATAGATGTACCGTATAACTAACTAGTTATTCAATTTATATTCACTCAGCCACACAAGACAATGTCATGCAGTGGACCCAAATTTGAGTCTCTGGGGATTCCAGGCTAAGTATAGAAACTCATGCCGCATTCGGAAGAAGCTGAAACATTGGTCTTGGCCTCATTTCAGGGTCCATTTGGCTATACTTGGCTTTTATTTCAACACCAATTGCACGTACTCGATATCTATTATAATATAGTATTGGATATAACGTATATAGACAAGTATTCCGAGCTGTGAATAACTACATACATGTTACTAGGTAACTATTAGGGACATATGGTACATATGTAATAGTGTTGTGTAGTACTATTGTAAGGTGTAAATAAGTGCATAAATACCAGAGTTAGGGCCACCTATTCTATTTCAAGCTCTACATTATCTATGCATATTTATATTAAAAAGAATTAAAAATTACTCAAAGCACAAAATCACCTCGGTACTTGGTAAAGGTCTCCCAAGCCACTCAAGTCCTTTAGCCCCATTGTTCTCTTACGCGTCCCCCGATCGGGCTTGAAACGGAACCCCACCGCACGCAGGCACCACATCACTTCTTTGGCTTCTGGCTTCTGGCTTCTGGCCATTTACCATTTACCTATCTTCCAAGCTTCTTCACATCCTCCCTTACTCATCAGAAATCTCGGGCTGGCTCGTTTTTCTGTTTTGTCCTTATTCGTTCCCTTTGTTTCCCCCCTAGTCCCTAGTCCTTAGTCCTTAGCCTATTACCATCCCTTCCTTCGCTCACCCGAGTCTCTCACTCATTCCCCGATCCATTGCCGGTACTGGAGGTCTTTCGACAGTAGGAGCTCCCGGCTCCTAAGATACGAATCACGTCAAAAATGCTTCCAGATAAGTATGGCTCTCCCCAACTCTCTCCCTCTCCGAATTGCTTCCCCCCGAGGACAAGTTGGTCAGTTCTAACATGGTTGCGCGCTGCGCCTTTATAGATATGTTGGGCTTATTTTAGCCATTGTATCGACCATGGCGATCGGTACGAGTTTTGTTATCACTAAAAAGGTTGGTGTCCCACGAATCTTACCGGAAAACGGACACTTGGATCCCGGGTGCGCTGGACAAACACTGCGGCGATTCGGTTCAAAGCGATCATTATCGGAGCGAAGCCGCTAATGCGTCTGGATACAGGGCTTGATGCACGCTTGCGAACGACATGGGTTTGAGGGCGAAGGTTTCTCATACTTGAAGAGTCCCGTGTGGTGGGGTGGTATAGTGACTCGTACGGAACCTCATTGCCAGAGTTGATATCCCGGAGATGCTAACAGGCTCATAGTGGCCCTTGGTGAAGTCGCCAACTTTGCTGCGTACGCCTTTGCGCCGGCCATCCTGGTTACGCCCCTAGGTGCACTGAGTGTTTTGATCGGGTAGGGATCTCTTCGATGGCGTGCATAATCTCATAGCTGACATGACACAGTGCGGTCCTGAGTTCGTACTTCCTCAACGAGATACTTGGTGTATTAGGAAAATTGGGCTGTGCGCTGTGCTTGCTGGGATCGGTTGTCATTGTTCTCCATGCCCCTCCAGACAAGCAGGTGGAGACAGTGGATGAGATTCTTGGATATGCGGTCCAGCCAGGTACGAATACTTGATCGCTGTCCGGCGCCTAAACCCCACCGCTGACCTTGTGACTAGGATTCCTTTTCTACTGTGTCGCAGTTGCGGTCTTCTCGACTCTGATGATCTACCGAGTTGCGCCCGTCTATGGCAAAAAGAACCCGCTCGTCTACATCTCGATTTGCTCCACTGTTGGATCGGTTTCCGTCATGTCCGTCAAGGCCTTTGGTATTGCGGTGAAATTGACCATTGGGGGCAACAACCAATTCGTCCATGCATCCACCTACGTCTTTGCCATTGTGACCGGATTCTGCATTCTGACGCAGATGAACTACTTCAATAAGGCATTGAACTCCTTCTCGACTTCGATGTGAGTGTAAAGATCAGTCAATGTGAAGATGCGAGGCTAACATGATTTCCGTCAACAGCGTGAACCCACTTTACTATGTTACCTTTACAACCGCGACCCTCTGTGCCTCCTTCATTCTTTTCAAGGGATTCAACACCACCGACGCCGTCAACACCATATCTCTACTCTGTGGATTCCTTATCATCTTCACCGGCGTATACCTGCTGAACCTCTCACGACATGACCCGGATGGACACACCATGGTGAATTCAAAACTTGACGAGGATGGAGTGCCAACAGACGGTATGGCGAGCTTCCAGACCCGTCGCTCAATGCAGTCCCGCCGAAGCTCCTCGAGTGCATATTTCAATGGAAATAGCGATCGCGAAGGCCTCATCCATGCGTACGATGCAGAGAACGGGATTGGCATGAACACCTTGCCCGAAGCAAGTGATGGGGAGCCAGGTCCGACTTTCCCGCAGACCGAAACAGAGACTGCAATTCACACCAAGCGGAACACTCAGATCTGATCATGGTGTTTTTACAAGGTCTGATTTCCAATCCTCGCCTTATAACAAGGTCTTTGAAATGATTCTCCTTCCCCTTTACACACTCAACTACAAGCTTCCCTTCCACGGGCTTGATCTCCACTTGTATTTTTACTGCTCCCCAAAAATGCCAGTGTTGCATTGAAACTTGGGCGAACTCGTCAGACACTGGACATGTCTGTATGAACGACTGGATATGACTCTGGGTTTCTCTGGATGGTTGGGATTTGATGTCTGTTTTTTTTTTTTCTTGCCTGTTTTCATTTTCCTTTTCCTTTTTTCATTTTTCTCTATCGGTGATCTGGCGTGGCGAGAGGCTTGTATATAGTTCCCAAGTTGGATTTCTGCAGAATAGACGAATGTATCTGGGTGGGGCTGGGCCGATGATGTATTTGCAGGTCAGCTGTTTATGGAACATGCCCATCCGATATTCTTGCCTTTTCAATTCCTACATCTTTTAAATCTTGGTATTGCCTGTCCTTGGCTACATGTACCTTTGTAAGGGGCCTAATAGACGTCAATTGGAAGGGCTGTGTGATCTTGTTCCCCTCGAACGTGGGGAACCTGCACAATGCCCGCTTTATTGCGCAAATTGGCCATCGTCGCCGCGGTCGACGGCCTCATCCTGCATACTCAGGCCAGCGGACCACGGCATACCGCTGGTAGTAATAATGAGGCTTCATCCATCCGCATCGACTATAAGACGAACAAAATCACTGCGTTGCCCGTTTCCGCCTCGGAGCCCCTTGGCGGAAAGGACGCCCTAGAGGCCTACGGTCTTATAGGTATGTTGATGAACTGGGTGGAAATTGAATTAAGAAACTAATCTCAGGGTATCTCTTTTGCAGGTCTTTTATCTGTCGCTTCATACTCATTTCTCATTTCCATCACACAGCGCCAGCAAGTAGCGCAGATCCAAGGTCGCCCGATCTACGCGGTAACCAATGTCGCGATTATCCCAATCTCATCCCAGGCAGATGCCTCCCGCGCAATTACACAAGCCAGGAAAGAATCAGCGCAGGAAGAAGTCACCATCGAATCGTCCTCCGACGAAGATGATCTTTCCGATAAGGAAACCGACAGAGCCGAAGCGGAGGCGGAGGCGGAGATGGGCAGCGTGCCCACATCACCTACTCGCGATACATCTCATGCCCGCGGCCCCAGTATCGGCAGTATTGCAGAAGATGTGATTGCGAAGAAAGTCCGCTTCGGCAGGTTTGCAGCCAATTGGCTATCGCGCAAAAATCTGGGCTTGCCCGGACCCGGAGCTCTAGAGCAGGATGTGCCAGAGTCTCCCTTTGACGAAGCTTCCATTTCTTCGGGTGATGCCAGCGAGGCAAAACATGAAGCTGTAAATGAAGCTCTCTCTGAAGAGACTGGGGCTCAGAATGAGCCTGATCGGCCTAAATCTAGCCAGGCTGCTGAATTACTGCCGAAACTGCTTCGCTATACGAAACTCTTGTTTGCATCGCATAACTTTTTCTTTGCATATGATTATGATCTTACACGCCCTTTACATACACAGGAAGCTCGGAAAGATCAGCTTCCCCTCCACAAAGTTGTGGATCCATTGGTATGTGCGAAGTGAGGGCTCGTAGTATGTTTTCTAAGACTTGCTTGCTGACTCGTTAGCAGTACTTTTGGAATAGACATTTGATGAACAAGTTTATTGATTATGGGGCTCATGGCTTTGTTCTGCCATTGATTCAAGGCTTTGTCGGCCAACGAGAATTCACAATCGCTGGAGCTGAGAGGAAACAATCTTCAACAGACTCAGTGGAACTCGCAGAAGGCCGAATCCTCGGTGAAAAACACGAGGCCGAGGCTGTTGAGACTAATGCCAGCAAGCGTGACTATCTTCTAACTCTCGTTTCTCGACGGTCTGTCGAGCGACCAGGTCTCCGTTACCTGCGCCGTGGTGTCGATGATGAGGGCAACACAGCCAACACGGTTGAAACCGAGCAGATTCTCTCCGTTCCGGAGTGGACACCGTCTCACCCTGCCTACTCATATTTGCAAGTTCGGGGTTCCATTCCCCTTTATTTCTCACAGTCGCCATATGCCTTGAAGCCAGTTCCAGTACTTCATCACACTGCGGAAACGAATCTCCTTGCATTCAGTAGGCACTTCCGAGAGTTCAGTCGACGGTATGGAAATGTCCAGGCTGTCTCTCTTATTGACAAGCTGGCCGGTGAATTGAAGCTAGGAGAGCAATATGAGCGATACACTGAATCCTTTAATGCCGCCGGTGGGATCGATGGTAAGCCATTGCAACTTGAATGGTTTGACTTCCATCACGAGTGCCGCGGCATGAAGTTTGAAAATGTATCTCGCCTGGTCGATCGACTGAAAGATACATTGAATGAGTTCTGCTACACCATTGTTGCAGACAGCGATGTCCTGCAGACCCAGAAGGGAATCATTAGAACCAATTGCATGGATTGCCTTGATCGTACTGGGGTTGCCCAGTGTGCATTCGGCCAATGGGCCCTTGAGCGTCAACTGGAACATGAAGGCATTGATATTGATATTGGGGGTCATTCTTCCACTCAATGGTTCAATACGCTTTGGGCAGACAACGGCGATGCCATCTCTAAGCAGTATTCATCAACTGCAGCCCTGAAGGGTGATTACACCCGCACACGCAAGCGAGACTATAGAGGCGCCCTCAACGATTTTGGACTGACACTTTCCCGCTACTATAACAACATCGTAAACGACTTCTTCTCTCAAGCCTGTATCGACTACCTCCTAGGCAACGTCTCGACCCAAGTTTTTGATGAGTTCGCCATCCAGCTCCAGACCACCGATCCAGGAATCTCAGTCCAGAAACTGCGCCAGAACGCCATTGACACAAGCTGCAAGATAGTTATCAGTAGCCCCTCTGAGGAATTTCTAGGCGGTTGGACCATGCTGACACCCCGTCAACCTAACACCCTTCGCACCCTGCCCTTTGGGGAATCTGTCCTCCTTTTAACCGACGCCGCAGTCTACAGCTGCCGCTTTGACTGGGAGACTGACAAAGTGCTGTCCTTTGAGCGCATCGACCTCCGCTCCATCTCGCGCATTCACTATGGCACATACGTCACATCCATATTGACAGGGAGCCAAGCCAACGAGGCGACCAACGTCGGTCTCGTCATAGTATACCGTGATGGCGACACAAACACCCTCCGTGTAAATACCAGATCCCTGCAGAGCGATGTCGACCTCAGTACGCTCGAGACCACCGCCAGCGCCAACAGTGAATGGGACCTTGTTTCCTGGCTGCGGGGTAGCAAGCGTGCGACCACGCGGTTCGTCGCATTCAAGGGCCTGCCGCTATCGAACCCGGTGGCTAGTCCGCGGCTTGGGCCTAGCGCTGGGAGTGTTCGGGAGATGGATCGGATTCGCTCGGTCTGTTTGGATATCGAGCGGGCGATGCTTGCGAGTCAGGGTCGTGACGTTGAGGCGGTCTCTCTGGTTGAACGGTCTGATATCATCTCTTTGGCGGATGCTAAGAAGAGGACTGGATGGTTAGAATATCTGGTGTATGATCTTAAGAAGATGGTTTGGGCGTGATTGGCAGTAATATTGAGGTGAGTTGGTGAGATTTCTTGCGCTTACCCCTCTTCCGTTTGCATGGCTTTGCTCTCAGGTTCATGGTTTGGCTCTCGGTCGCTGATATTCTGTAGGGGTCTTGTTGCATAGTATTATTCCTTGGTGTCACCAGGCTCGAAATGGGACTGGTTTGGAATTCACATATGATCAGTGGAACAGGGTGCAAGAATGATAATAGTAGCTTAGAGAGGGAGATTGAGAGACATAACTATGTGGTCTGTCATATAATAGTCAGATAAAGGCATGGCAATATAATGTAGTTCCATATATGGATGTATGTGAACTGATTGAAATAGATAAGAGATACTAAGTCAATCCATGTACATTTGGTATGCTTTTGCGGTGCTGCCCCCGCGAGTTCTTGCCATCGTGACTTCTCTCTACTTCAACTTCAGCTTCAACTTCAACTTCTCCCAACACCCCCAAAACCATCCAGATACATTCTTAAAAGTCTTATATTTATAGACAAGATCATGAAATGTACCCTATCCTTGCCTCACATCTTCGCCTTGGACTTTCGGCAAAACTGACCGCCTACCATCTTCAGCAGACCCTGTTTTCTGCCCGCAGCACATACACACCCCTCAGTCTGAGCTTGTCTCCAACAACTTCATTTGATTCTGACCTTTATGCAAAATTGCTTCGGCCAATTACTTCCCGTCTCATTTCTGATTCTGCCTTAGCGGATCGGAGATTTCGACCTTGTTCTTTGATCTGGGGAAACGAAGGGGGCCCGTTCCCACATTTTCGGCGGGGCTCCTGTCCTACTCGCACTTTTGACTTACCTCTTGTCGCATCGAGTCTCTTCACCAGGACAAGATGGTTTGGCAACCACAGCAAGAGCCATTGAGGCAGCTGGCTCGCTACCTTCGCGACTCGCTCAATGGGGCTAACCCTACAGCCCGAGCAGAGGCCGAACAGGTAATGTCGTTCCTTTTTTTTCGGTCCTATCCTATTGAGCTTCCTCTCGACTGCGGTCGCCGCACATACATTACTCCCAAATGGAAACTGACTTTCGATTTTTTTTAAAAAAAAATAGATGCTCGCACAAGCGACCTCTTCTCCCGATTACATCAATTACATCACCTACATCTTTTCCAGCCGGGAAGCTGGTCCCCTCGCAGGAATTAACGAGAATGAATACCCTACAGTTCGATTCGCCGCCGCTGTGAACGTTAAGACGAAGATTGCTATTGCTTACAACACGATCTCTTCTCAAAGTTTGGCTTTCATCAGATCCGCAGCTCTTGTTACACTACGCGATACCGACCGCAATGTCTCAAGAGCTGCCGGTAACGTTATCACCGCAATGGTGCTTCACGGAGGTCTCTTGGCCTGGCCTGACATTGTCAATGAGTTGCTGACTGCTGTGGCTAATACCAACGGGGGTGTCCCCATGTCAGCTAGGGAAGCTGCAATGGATACATTGTACAAGGTCTGTGAGGACAACCGCAAGGTCCTGGACCGCGACTATCAGGGCCAACGTCCCCTGAATATCATAATCCCCAGCTTGCTGCAATTCATTTCGGTCGAGAGTTCGCGCATTCGGATTGCTTCTCTCAACGCCATCCACGTTTTCTTGCCGTTCAGACCCCAGGCATTGATAGACTCACTCGACCAATTTCTTTCGCAGTTGTTCAGAATTGCTGGTGATGAAGACACCAGAGTCCGACAAATGGTGTGCCAGTCATTCTCCCAACTCGTGGAGACTGCGCCGGAAAAGTTGGCCCCGCATATGGAAGGATTGGTCAACTACATCATCATGCAGCAGCAATCCCAGGACGACCCAGAGCTTGCACTTGACGCCGCCGAGTTCTGGATTGGTACTGGAGAGCAAGAGCGATTGCAGGCCGAATTGGCTCCATACATGCACAAAATCATCCCGGTTCTTTTGCAAAACATGATCTACGACGAGGATGAAGTGGCTCGATTGATGGACGAGCAAGATGATGCCGATGCCGAGGACCGTGCTGAGGATCTAAAGCCACAGTTTGCCAAATCAAAGGGTGACCGTCTGAACATGTCCAAGTCAGGCGAACAACCGGAATCCGCTCGCGCCCTCGAGCAACAAATAGAGGATGGCGAGGAAGACTTGAGCGAGGGTGAAATCGAGGACTCCGAATTCGGAGATGACCCATCGGGTAACTGGACTTTGCGCAAGTGCTCCGCTGCTGCGCTCGATGTGTTCTCTACCGTTTACCACCGTCCTGTCTTTGAAATCCTTCTCCCATATCTGACGGAAACTCTGCGCCATGAGCAGTGGCCGAACCGCGAGGCCGCCGTTCTTACACTAGGTGCAGTGGCGGATGGCTGTATGGATGCTATCACTCCCCATCTCCCAGAATTGGTCCCTTACCTCATCTCACTCCTCAACGATGATCAGCCTGTTGTGCGACAAATCACTTGCTGGTGCTTGGCCCGTTATTCTGGTTGGGCAGCCCATCTCCGCGACCCAGCCCAGAAAGCTCAATTCTTTGAGCCCATGATGGAAGGTATTCTTCATCGCATGTTGGACAACAACAAGAAGGTTCAAGAGGCTGCCGCGTCAGCATTCGCTAGCCTAGAGGAGAAGTCGGAGGATAACCTGGCACCTTACTGTGAGCCTATCCTGCGCCAGTTTGTGGCGTGCTTCAATAAGTACAAGGACCGAAATATGTACATTCTTTATGATTGTGTGCAAACGCTCGCCGATTGTGTTGGGAACGAGCTGGCGAGGCCACATCTAATTGAGATCTTGATGCCTGCCCTCATCGGTCGCTATAACTACATTTCCGACGATTCCCGAGAGCTCTTCCCGTTGCTTGAATGCCTCGGATACATCGCTGGGTCCTATGGCGACGCCTTTGCCCAATTCGCGCCGCCTCTCTTCGGTCGCTGCATGAAGATCATTTATGGAAACTTGCAAGCTTCTATCCAACCGACCCACGCCGCGGCTGATGAGCCGGACAAGGACTTCCTTGTTACTAGCATTGACCTTCTTAGCTCAATCATTCAGGCAATCGACCCACAAAAGAGCGGCGAGCTTGTGAGTACTTCACAGCCGTCTTTCTTCGAGCTCCTCCGCTACTGTATGGAGGATGCAAACTATGAAGTCCGTCAATCGACGTACGCTTTGCTGGGAGACTGCGCCATCAGCATCTTCCCTCATCTGGAACCCTTCCTTCCCAGCCTTGCTCCGGTTTTGATTAAACAGCTTGACTTGGACCTGATCCGCGATGATGATCGTCATACGGGCTTCAGTGTTTTGAACAACGCCTGTTGGTCATGCGGTGAGATCGCCGTCCACGAGGATGCCGCACTATCGCCCTATGCGGAGCAACTGTACCAAGGTCTCTTTACGATTATCACTAACGAGGAAATCATCGATTCGGTGAACGAGAACGCCGCGATGGCGTTGGGACGACTAGGATTCTGCTGTGCGGACCAGATTGCGCCCCATTTGAGCGAGTGTTCCGGACCTTTCCTGAAGTCCATGGACAAGATTGATTTCACGCGTGAAAAGGCTTCTGCCTTCCTCGGGTTCAACCAGGTGGTGATGAAGAACCCACAGGCCATGGAGTCGAGCCTGCTCGGCTACTTCCAGGCAATTGCCACGTTCCCCGCCCGCTCGCTGGCACAGGAAGAGTACCGGGATATCCAGGTATCCTTCCAGCAGGTAAGATCATTTTCCTTTTGTTCTTAGTAACATCCCACTAATCAAGATTATAAATATAGGTCCTCCAGGGATATAAGGCTTTGATCCCTGACTTCAGCAACTTCCTTGGCCAGCTACCCCCGGCCGTGGCCCAGACACTGCGCACCGTGTACCAGGTCTAAGTAGGGGGAACCTTAGTGATCTCAGCTTAGACCTTGGTTACCGGGGTGTCGGTTGATGATCATTCCTGTCTCAAATCGGGCTGGAGTTAGGTTAGAGGGGAGGGAAGCGAGGGGTGTCCTGGGGGAATCAGTACATAGGGGGTCAGCGGCCGGGATTTCACGTTAATAGAAAGAGGAGGGAGAAAGGAAGGGGCAAAAATCATGGGAAGGAGCATCTGCGATTTAGCTGTTTTTTTATCATGATTGCAACATGGGCACGCATGACCCTTTATGATTTCTATCCCGTTGACTTTGCTTTTCTTTCTGGATTCTTATTTTTGCATTCATTGTGCATAGGCATCATCAAGCCAGGTCCCGGGGGCTGGCTCATAGGTTTCTTTTTTTTTTTTTTTTTTTGGTCTTCTCAGCGTTGGTTTTGGGGGATTTTTGCATAGTTACCCCCTTAGATAGATAGTTCCATAGATAGATCTTTGTTGTCAATGAAGATCTCAAACAATATTTGTGAAAGCCCGAACTATAGAGCTTTGGGATGTCTTTTTAAAGCTCTCCCATGCTTTTTTTGGTCGTTCGGGAGCATCTTATTGAAGCGTTCTTTTTGGTTGTGTCTCCTTCCACTGTATTCAGAATATACCTAGGTATATATAGTATGAAATAGATTCCCGCTGACTACAATATGTAGCCTTTAAGTGGTAAGATTGTAATAATTGCTAGTTGTCCTTGATAGTAGCTAGTTTCCTTGGTCCCTTTCTTCACCATATCTGTTGGCCGAATATAGATCAGATCAAACATTGCTACCTCCAGCTAAATACAATCAGTTACCTAGGATTTTCTACTTTAGCAACCCTATCTATTTCTAGTAGCTCGCGTGCCAATGCCAGCGCATTTCACACCTCTTCATCCGTCCGTGCCTAGCCCCCGGGGAATCAATAACACATGCCAATATCGACTCGCTAAATCCTGGACCAGTAGTGGATGGGAAAAAAGCAAGGCAAGATTAAGATCAGCAGGACCCTAGCAACATAGTTATTTTTGGGAAGCAGACAACATGCATGACAAGTATTCCGTAACTACCTAGGTAGTCACCTGCCATTAATAACCTAGCAGCAAATGCATATACAACATACATATCACATAAAGCACTGAACCCCTGTTAACCGCCATACCCCTTCAAGCCCTAATCTCTCGTCAACACAAGCCCATCCTTCTTCATAGTATGTTATAGTTAGAGTAAGATAGATAACCAGGTCACCAAAAAAAAAAAGAGAAAGAGAAATAGAATCCAGTAATATACAACATAAACCCCCAAGCAAAGACCCAAGCAAAGACCCGAGTCTCGCCTAACTGGCGCGTTATAATTAACTCGTCGGCACCAAAAACCCCCTCCCCAACGCCAGTCCCCCGCACCGATTGGCCGCTCAGATAAAAACCGCCCGAAATACCAAGACGCGAGCCTTTCCCTTAACTACTCTTTTCCACGACCCCGGGCGCATCGTGTATCCTATCGACCCCACCTTATCTCACCCTGTGATTACAATGCCATGTGTCAGTGACAGGCGTTGATGCAGGGTGCACAATATGTAGGTACCTACAGGTAGTGTCCCGGGCGCCTGGTTCCAAGTGCTGAGTAGTGTGCGCCATTGGAGGCCCGAAGCCGTGTGTGTCGGGTTATGGTCGTTTTTTTTCGCTTTTCGCTCTAGAGGACCTGGGCTATGCCTTTTGCGGCTTGCAGAGATGGGATGGATGACGGGGGGCTAGTGTGGACTTGTGCCCCGGTGGGTTTGAAGAACTTATACAACATCTAGTTACTCAGGCTGGTTGTTCTTGTTTGCTCTTTTCGGTGAGAATTCCCAGGTTTCAGGGGGTGGGTGTTATGTCCTGGCCTAAACGGGTATCTTAACGAGCTGGGTCTTTATTTTCGGGTGTATTTTTATTATTATTATATGTATATTGTAGTGCTCTCAGAGTATTTGTTTTAGCGGTGAACTTTGTCTGGGGTTTATTTTCAGCCGCAGCAATGTTCTCTGTATTATCCTGTTCACGTCTTGTTGTACTCACCTCAGACCTACCTACATTATAGATAATAAGAGGGCTGTCAATTCTTCAACAATTATAGAAAACTAGTACAACTAGTCAAAATCAATTGTTTTATCCGTTCTCTAAGTCATAATTCAAGAGATATGAAACAGGAACCAGAAACACTGATCCCACACTAGAAACATTCCATGAAACTCAGCTGACCACCCACGTTCTTAATGCAATCTCCCAGATTCACCTGGCTGTCTTGGATGTTTCCTTCACCATCATCTAGTTGCGCGTGCAGCATGGGTTCGCTATGGGGACCTTCTAGTTTGAAATCAACATTGCGTGAACATTTCGAGAAGTCGTGGGAACTCCAGGCCAATTGTCCTAGATTGGAATGACAAAGTTAGTTTCGGGTCGATATCGGTCTGATTTCGGTGGTGTTGGAAGTTCACTACTAGTAATCGAGGGGAATACCACGGAGAATAGAACGGGAAAATGTGTACGGAGTATGGTCCTTACCCTTCTTTGCTCCGAAGAACTCATCCAGATCTAGCTCTGAATATCTAGGCTCCCCGGTGGGTCGCTGGCAGTAAGCAGTAAGGATATGCTTATCCCTGATATCGATGTCCTGGGATGATCTTTGGAAGCCCATCTTGGCGTGTTGGACGAGAGTGATGTATAAATAAATCAACCAATGAGAAATGTAAATGGATGTGATGTGCAAATTGCCTGTTTCCTGTCGTCTGTTATATTGCCCCGACGCACGAGAATAGCCAGGTTGCGCAGTGCTGTATTGCGAGAAAGGGAATAGAAGAGAAGAAAAAAAAACGAAAGTGAGGCTCTTGATATGTAGGATTGTCTAGTATATATTTATTGCCTCTAATGATACCAATCTGTTGTAGATGTCTACTGTGGCCATTTGGAATGCGGAGGTGGGTGGCTCTACCCTCATGGTTTTCTAATTATGGTACCTGGGATGGAAGTTGATTTTATACAGCACACCCCATGTAAGGACTGCGGAGGAATGTGAGATTCCTTGCTAGACTGCTAGGCGGTCTATTTAAAATGGAGTTGTGATTTTTTTACCCAAGAGGAAGGTGATAAGGATCTCACGAATAAGTGTCAGCCACCCCCAAGAATCAAGTGTCAGGCATTCGTTTCAGCAGCTGGGCAAAGAAGTATCACAAAGATGATGCGGCGGTGGCTTGGGAAACAGAGTTGACGCTAAAGACTCTATTTGGGAATGGTTATATCTTCCAGGGCTAGTCCATGGTAGGTAGTTACTAGGTCTATGGAGAATCAAGATTGCCGTCGATCTCTCTATTTCCCATCGTTTGTATCTTCTTTCCATAAATAATAGAGTTTCCATTTCTAAATCTAGATTTTTAAAAAGCTGGTGGCTCTTTAGGAGTTTAGGTTTCCAGATCCAAAATCTTTGATTGCAGTGCATAGACATGAAAGACACAAAAGTAGATTTATCAATTTATCAATGTGTAAAGACGTAAATATGTACAGTGTGTATTCTTGCAGATGATCTAACGGTCTAATAGACCATTAGACCAGTATTGTACTCCGTACACCATAGTTCATAAGATCTACAAGAGAAAATCATCCAGTCCCCACACAAGTCCAGGATAGCCCAAGTCTTGGCAGAATAGAGTTGGTTAGCGTACTGCACTCCCACGGGCTGTGTTTCTGACTTAGCGGTCGAACTGGGGGACTGGGGGACTGGGGGACTCCATGATTCTTATCTCTTCTGGTTGCGACACACTTGAATTCCACGGTTACTGGATCGATCTGTTTACCATGGCTGGCAGTTTCAAGATCACGGGGGGTTTGGTATTGAAGTTGGCATTTTTATAGAAAGAAAGGGTACCCCGCGGAGGTATGAGTAAAACTATATATTGAAATGCTAAGCAGCTCCCGTCAATTCCGGCGATATTCTGACGTAAAAAGGCTAGATCGAAAAAAAAAAAAACAAAAGACAAAAAAAAAGAAATTAAGAATAAAGTTGATAGTAAAATAAATCCAGTCGGGAATTTTGGCCCCCAATCTATACCATATTTGGCCTGATGTCGCGACAAGCGAGACTGATCGTTGTTGATTGGATATATCTGATTTTGTGTTCCTTCACATCTGCGGAGAAAATACCGTCCGAACATTTCCGATGACCCGCACAGCATACCCTCTTGGGTCATTGGATCTTTTGAAGTAAATGCCAAGCCTTCAACGCCTGGAAAGGAAGGCAGCGTATTTGGGTCGTGGCAAACGTGTCAAACATCATGATAGGAATGACATAATCATCATCTCTGTGCGACTATGGTGCCACGTGTGAGGTAAATAATCCCTTTTAGAGTAATCATCGTCATCACTGCAGTTCATATATGGTAGGACAGAAACCCCCGTCCAGATCAAAAGGTGGCACACACCGACTTTAGACACATGCCTTGTTCGACGTCTGATCCCCAAAAAAAAACGTGGTCTCCAGGCCCAATCTGGCACTGTCACATAAATATGCATATTACACAGTTTCAGGGGAGTCACTATACAACATAGATTCAGACGTAGATATACATCATACATCATACATACTCAGATGCTGACTGGGCCTTAAAATTACATCCCATTAGGGCTGGAGTGCATGATGCTATTCCAAGCGAAGAGCCCTTTTTACCTTTTAAACACTTACCGTTATGTTGCTAGATTCAGCCCTTGGGCACTGCAGGAATGAGCCCATTCCACAAAGTTTTTTTTTTTTTTTTTTTTTTGGGATGATCATTCTGAATAATAGTTGCTGGGACCGATCTCACAGCTCTCTCTAATCCCTGTATACCTGGAGACTAGACCATCAGGGGTTCAGTGTTCAGTTCCCACTTTGGGCTTATTGGCGTCGTATGTTGTACACTAGTATTAGGCTCACTAGACATGGTTTCCTCATCTTGTACGTTCCAGCCCAGTGGTAACTTCACCGGAGAAGGAGATAGGGTGGTTCCGGTCTGGGGCCACGATCGCAATAGGTTACTCTAGGGTGTTAGGATAAGGGATGCGCCAAAAAAAGAAAAGAAAAGAAAAGAGAAATTGAGCTATGGATGCGGTGATCCCGAGAGACTGGTCTTACACCCCCTAGTTGCGGACTAAACGTTAACACGTTGCCTTCAATCCCCAGATTCCAAGTGGTGTAAGAACCTGGTATTCTTTTTCTTTTTTTTTCTTTTTCTTTTTCTTTCTTATACAGTTGACTTTATTTTTTTCTTGGAGTTCTACATTCGGTTGTGATTACCGAGTTCAGGGTTTAATCTCCCATCTGACTCACAGGCGGGTAGGAACGGGCGACTTCCGCCTGTCAGGGTAAGCTTGAATCTTAGCGGGAATGGAAGAGTGGAAGAGCCACTCCCAGTACGTCTGAGATTACGTCTAGGATAGCACAATAGTAATTTGAACTCCTCTTCTTTCCCAACGGGGTTAACGGTGTCCCTTGACAGCGACCCACAATCTAGGGTCCGCCAGATCGAAAGCCTTGCGAGGCAAAATGGTCGATCGGTTACTATGTTTTCTTGCATTCTGGTTCTATATTAGTTATCCTGGGGTCATCTGTTAATAGGCCCCTGCGTATATACATTCTCTTGGCTGGAACTATGTTCTTTGGAACGCGGGATGAGATTTACAACAGGAAAAAAAAGAGGAAAAAAAAGCAAAAATAAAATGATGAACACACACATATGAATCAACTTGATTTCGTCCATGGAACCTTTTTCTTTTGATTTGCCTTCTGGTCATTATCTTCTATAAGCAAATAGGGTGTACTCGGTAGAACTGGGAACCATAGAAATACTTCTATAGTTAGGGCTAGATGGTACCAACAGTCCAATTCGTTTCAAGAAAAAGAAAGTAATTTCCACATGGAGGTGTGCAATATAGAGCCTATCCCTGCTTGAGAACATGGGCTCACATGCGGCTAGTGGACAGTCTAGCCTATGAAGGCAGCTATATAAGCTACCCATGTGGTTCACCTAAAATGACCGAGTGCTATATTAGACGGTCTTTTTATTTTTGTTTCTTATTTCGCTGATTTCACTGATTTCACTGATTTTTACATCTTCTTGGGTATTTTTACATATTTTACATATTTTACCTGTTTTTTTATTTTATTATCTTTTTTTTTTTTTACTTTTTTCCTTGGCTTAATGCCCCCCCCTGTACCCAGAGGCTCAAAATCTCGATCGTCACTGGGAAATAAAATTAGTGGAAAGTGAGAATGCATCTGTGAAATTTAAATAAGTCAGATCATATCTTGCTGACTTCAACTGTTAATACTATCTTCCCTCTTTTTAATTCCTCTACTTTCTCTTTTGTTTCCTTTTAGTCTCTTCAACGTTAAGATCCCCAAAGCTCGTATTCTCCACGTGCTTAATTCAACTTATATTCATCAAACCTCAACGGCCCCCAAACTCCCAAATTTATTTTTGGAGACGGTTGGATTAGGTCACATTCTCCTTTCTCTATAACTACAGGGCTTACGTGCCCACCATCAACTCTTTCACAACATTCACCTGTGGAGTCCTTGACTCCAGTTCCAGTTATCTCTCCGCGTCTTCAAAGGCCAAAATGGTCGGTCCAGGCGGCGGCCCACCACGCAAGAGCCACACCAAATCCCGTAACGGCTGCAAAACATGCAAGAGGAGACACATTCGATGTGATGAGACCTTCCCGCAATGGTATGTTCTTCAATCCACACCTAGACACTAGTATACCCATCCTAATTCCATCTAGCCGCAATTGCACAAAGCACAACTGCCGCTGTGACTACCAGGATACGGCTGCCACACAAGGTGGTAGCCCCCCCGCGCCACGCGGTCCCGACCTCCTCATTTCACCAGAGATCGAAATGGAAATAGATAGTTGGCATCGTACAGGTGTGCCTCCGTATCCGGAGCTCCTGCAGTGCCCACGATCTGGGTGGTCTGGCTTGTCGCGAAATGATTTACGCCTGATTCACCATATAATCGGGCTTTCGATTGACTTGCATCGTCGAGGGTTGAGTGGTTGCACTGTGTGGGCACAGAAGATGCCTAAGTGAGTCCTCTCTAGATCTGACTGCGGTAGGTCTTTGCTGACGGAGATTCTATAGTTTCCTGGCTATCTCGCTCGGGAACGACTTCGTTATGAGCTCTATCTTGAGCTTTTCGGCATTTCACCTTGCTTTTCTTACGCGAGACCAGGAGACTAAGCAGCTGGCTTTCCGTCATAGAGTCACGGCTCTCCACGGATTGCAGACCGCTCTGGGCTCCTTCTCGAAGGAGAACTGCGATGCAATCCTCGCGGCTTCTGTTCTTTTATCATGGCAGGCCACAGACCAGTGAGTGTCATAGGTCAGCTCCCTAGAAATTCCCCCCAACTAACACCAGAACAGTCAAAGTTGGGCATCTTTGCAGCACGGCATCTCTAGCGTCCTAGAATCCATGCATCCATACTGGAAACAAGAGTCAGACATTGCACAGTTGATAGAAAACCAACGAGCACTGAGCACAACAGATGGTCCAATGGCTGGAGTCTACCAACCCCTCGACGAAGACATGGTACATCTAGACCAAACGATCCAGGCCCTCCGATTGACACGGAAACGCACTTCCCACAATCTTGAGCACTCTCAACGCCTAGGAGAACTCATCGAATTCACCCAGAAATTCCGTGATGACTTCCCCAACCAAACAACCGAACAGTCATTCGAAAGCATCCAAACCCTCCGGCGCTGGCTCTTCTGGCTCCCACCCTCCATGCTCCGAAGTAGCGAATCAGAAATCAGCGCCCTTCCAATCCTAGCCCAATTTTTCGCCGTCGGCATCTCTCTCGACCGCTTCTTCCCAGAGCTAGGTGGCGCATACCTAGGCGCCCTATTCATCGGTCCTATCGAAGAGATGTACCGTATAATAGCCACCCACAACGCCGCAGACCCCTTCAACACCGAGCTGCGTCTGGCCCTAGAACTCATGGACCTGCCCCGCGGTATTGTTGCCCGCTATCGCGGCCGCGTACCCCTCTCCTGGTCTCCCCGCTCATCAGTCGACCAATACTCCCCCGGCCCGCCTAGCCCTTTCCACCATAATCTACACGAGTATCCGCTCGTCGCCTCTTCCTCGCCCGCTTCCGCATCACCTTCTTATGCCGCTTATACCCCGCCTCTGCATTCCCCTCCTGCCGTCACTATTGCCAACCCTGCCTTCCCCATCCAAGATGGCTATGTACCCGCTACATCCTCGCATTCTCTATATCCGCCCTCCCCACAGCTCCTCGATAACCACGACGTACACATCGGTCTCTCGGATCTGGGACATGGCCATGTCCATCCGCATCATGCTTCCATTTCTCATTCCGCGGCTTACACCCCGCCGTATGGTGATGTGCTGTGCGCCGGTTTGCCGCGCGCGGATGGCACACTTGGTCTCAACATGGAGGTTTATCCACAGACACATCAGTTTGAAGTGCCGGGCTTGGCTACTCCCGCTTCACTTTGGACTTGATCCTCAGACAGTACCAGGTCTGTGATATGGATTTATCTATACCAAAAAATGAAGCCAAAATGGGAAATTATGGGAAATTTGGACTACCACCCTGAACAAGGTTGGCCAGTCGGATTCTGGCTATTGGGTACCAGGATTGGAATTGGAAGATATAACCTCTCTCATTTTCCGAAAATACGGAGGTTACGGAGTTATGTTCTACTGGGAATTGGACCTGGAGGACATGTGCTTTTTTGATTATTATACGCGAGTGTTTCGTTTTCACCACTCGACTATTTTCTTATACATTCTGACTCTTGTTCTTTTTTCATTTTCACTTTTTTTTTTTTTTTTTTCCTGAGCATGAGCGTTAACGTGTGATCTTCTATCCGATTTAATGCCCGGTTTGGATTTTATACTCGGTTGCAGCTGCAAGCTGGAGACAATTGTCTCAAACGATATTTATATATATACCCTGGTTTTATCAAATCTTCTGTTTATCTGATTTGGAGTGTCTGTATGTGTGTTAGTAATGTCTTTATTGGTCTATTCAGAACTATAGCTTCAGAAATACAGCCATCCAGCCTTCTGACTGACCCCCAAACCCGCCAATGTATGAAAGATCATTACCTCACTTCCATAACATCTCAATACAGATAGTCTCGTAACCAAGAATGCATCCGCATCTGCACTTACACCTCACCCACACCGATCGACAGGTACCACCCAACCTCGAAAGTAGCCACCGGTAACCATCGCCACAGATCCTGTGCTAAGAATAGACGAAACGATCCAACTCAAAAGCACGGGACATGACATAATATTAAGGGAATTTAGACTACAGATCCATTCCTCTGATTGGTACCCCGCCGGCCACATTTCTCCAGACCTCGTATTCGGCCGCTTCGATAATCTGTCCGAATGAGGTATGTAGCAAGCCCCCGAGCTAGCACCGATTTGGTTTCGCTGGTTCTGCTAGAGGGTTGAGGATACCCGAGTGTAAGGTACAAGCGTTCTAAGATGTGATTGCTGGGATTGGATATCAATTCATTCCTTATATATGGTAGTTCTACGTATCAGCCGTGCAAATACAAGCGTAGTATGACATCGTCTTTTTTGCAGGGGCTGCAGCCTTATATGCGTGTCCCAGGGGTATCGATTTTTGATAGACTGGTTTTATTTTTTAACTTTGTTCATTTTGTTTTGGGTTTGTGTGAATTTAATGGTTTCGTTGGTTCGAGTGTCGTATTTATCACTCCGATTGCGGTTCGATCTTCACTAAACGGAAATTGAGTTAGTGATCGTCGTCGCTCCTTCGTGTTTTCTAAATTTATCTTCTTTTCTTCTGTGTATGCTATTGCGTATGTTGTACCTGAAATTGGAGATCTTACGTCTTATGCACTATTTTGTGGGTAATATTCCGTGCTGTTATTGCTGTTGGAGATTGAGTGGGAATATAATCTAAACATTGCTCAATTGTAGCAAACAAGCTAGCAAATAGCAAATAACAAACAAAGGGGCTTAGTCTGTAGCAAACATGCATGCATATATGGGAGATTGTTCAACAGTATATACAACATACCGACATATAGATAGGGGATTAATATAAATCGATATAATGTTCAATATCTGACCCGTTTGACCTATATGACCCATTTGAAACGCTCTAAGGTTATATTCTAAACTACTCAGTTAATTGTATGCACCTTATACACTCCTTAAATCCGCTTCAAGTTATATATGTACCTATACGTACCGGATATTCCCTGGCGTATGGGGCTTTCCTATTTGATCTGCTGCCGCTTTTATGAAACTATCCTTTTCACGCTCTATTCTCCTAAGATATCTAGCCATTTGATATTTGCGGTTTGGCCGAGTGGTTAAGGCAATTTCCTCGAATGAACTACAACTCAGTCCATGATGAGCTCAGTTTTCATTATAGCAATTACGTTCGTGTGCCGAATTGCAGCCGTCGTTTCCTTTCCCCCCACCTTATTTTGAGATGAGGCCTCAAAGGTTCCTTTTTGACAGTGAATATTCGCGTCTTCGATGGCACTCTTCATCTTGGTCCTTGCGCTAACGAGATGATCAATACCATTTAGTCGGTGCACATGTAGTTGGAACCGGATGATTCTGATTGCATTAGTGATGGGCATATTTTGAACTGTTTATAACCGATTCTCGGGATATGGAGTACTGGCGCGGTTATGTCGGGCAGGCCTTACTTAGTATTAGCGATTCGCGTTTCTTAGTATTATAGTATAATACGAAGTAGAAAAAGAAATACCTTATACTATCATATTGTTATAAAACCTTTAGTAGTAGGCTACTACTACGCTAATTTTATTCGGCTATAGACTATAGATTTTCTAAGTTATATATCTGGAGTTCGACAAAAGAGGTTTTCGAAAATATTTTAGAAATGTCATTCACATATATATTTCAAACACTTACGCCCTCTATTCTCGAGTTTTATTTTAGCCTCTACCTAGAAGGCTTATATTCAAGTCTTAGTCTTAATATAATTCCTCTATTGATATAAGGTAGAGAACTTATACGGACAGCTCGGGGGGAGTTTACAAAGCTTTTAGAGGGTTCTATAGACCCCGAGATCTGTAAGTGGTCAATTATCCGGGCATAGTAGAAGCACCGGCCTAAGGCCTTAGAGAAAAACTTGTTAATAACTATTATTGCCGATTAGTAAGGGTGTAGGGAATTCATTCATTATCTATCTATTCTATCTATACCGAGAAAGAGATATCTTCGGAATAAGAGACACCTAAATTCTTAAATAACGTATCTAGATAGCTTGGGGTAAAAACCTCAATATAAAACATATAGGTTTCAAATAAAGGAATTCATTAACAAAGAGGTAGATGGTAAAGTAGATAGATATATAGACGCTAACGGATATAATTGGCTGAGAGGTAAAAATCGAAGACCTTAGAAATGTCCATGGATCTTATGGGAGCAAAAAAGGGATGCAACGACGGCTGCATGATTTGAATGCGCCCGCGAACGGAATTGATTTCAAGTGTTCGAGCTTGATGGAATTGTTAGTGAATGTATCGTTGGATTTGTTTTGATGAAGAGAAACATACTCAATCGCCTTAGACCACTCGGCCAAACCGCCATTTTGAAATTCGTGGTCTGCAACGCACACTACGAACGAAATCTATCTCTTTTCTTTTTTCACACGAATCTTCTCCTAGACCAATCATCTTTCTGTTTAAGTGTTTTGAATAGATTTTGGAAAACGAGCAGATCCGTGAGTTTGGAGGGGTACTAGTAATAAGTAGCTGTCTCTGCTAGGTTGATAGTGGCTGCTATTGAAGGCACTCTTTCTCTCCGTAAACATGTAGTTATGTCAAGGTTTAAGACCTAATTTGGACTTTTATATAGAGCTTTTAAAGAAATTTATGGAGGAGACATTTCCGCTTAGATCTTCCTATCGATTATTAAGAATGCAACCATCCATCCATGGATATTAATTCCACCTTCCAAAAACTAAAAGCAGGGCATAAATTCTTGTCTCAAATATATATCATGCTGTAGTTCGAAGAATCAACTATAGCTTAACCAAGCCGTCGCCTGTTCACCGCAATTCAACTCGGAGCCAGGACTGAGGGTAACTTTGAAACGAAGCACTGGGTCTTCAACTTTATCTTTCCCACCACTTGGCAGCGTAAGAATGCGCTCATAAGCCTACAAAATCCGAATACTAATAGTGTACCCTATCTCAATAATAGCAAACTATTGCCTAATACAAATCCGCGGTCTACCATTAAACGCCTACAACGTAGCTCCCACAATTGACCGCTTTTATATAACTAACTACCGCCTCCTTATCCCAACTACACACACCCAGGGCGCGCAGCATACGCTGATTATCGAGGCTACTACCGCTTTTCTCTCTGTTTTTTGCCTCTCTAGTTCTATCTCTATACTATCTGCTACTATGGCACGCGGCCATAAGCTCGTTCCGAGCGTATATATGAGATAAAACATTCGGTTTTGAATATTATCAAAGTTCTACCGGCAGGAAATAAGTGGGTCTCGGACATTGCGAAGGTACTGGGGTTTAAATATTAATTGAAGCATGACAGTATTTATTTGATATTCCCTTTACATAGCCATTCTGGCCCAAAAAATGCCATCAAATGGCGGTTTGGCCGAGTGGTCTAAGGCGATTGAGTACGTTTCTCTTCATCAAAACAAATCCACCAAAACATTCACTAACAATTCCAACAGCTAGAAATCAATTCCGTTCGCGGGCGCATGTTCGAATCATGCAGCCGTCGTTGTATCTTTTTTTAAAAAATTTTTCTTAATTCTGAATCCTTTCTTGATTCTTTCTTAATACCTGGTTCAGGTGTTGGGTTGCTTGGCAAGGACCGGGCAGTAATCATAACGTTAGAAAGAATATAACTAGTTACAACGTATGTAGCAAAATATTACCCAAATTTGGTATGTTGGTATCCAAATTTTATATGCATTTATCTGATCTCCTTTAGTATAGCCATTTAGGCGCAAAAACTTCATCAAATGGCGGTTTGGCCGAGTGGTCTAAGGCGATTGAGTATGTTTCTCTCCATCAAAACAAATCCACCAAAACATTCACTAACAATTCCAACAGCTAGAAATCAATTCCGTTCGCGGGCGCATGTTCGAATCATGCAGCCGTCGTTGCATTCTTTTTTTTCTTATTTTTTCTATATATCTTATAGATAGCATAGTGTTAGAAGGAACAACGTATTTCACATACGAGTGGTCCATATAAGTCAGCGGTCGATATATTTCTCCGATCCCGGGCTATCATATAGATCAGGATCCCTCTATATCAATATAGTCGAGTAGATGACCCGCGAGTTTGCGCGTACACCTATAGGTGCTAGCCCGTCCGGTCCACCGCTATATAGGAGCGTCGTATCGTATAGAGAGTAGCGTATATTGAATGGCATGACTAGGTATAAACGTATTGTCTTATATAGTACTATACTAAGATACTTCATTTCCTTAAGATCGGCATAGCTAGGTTTCTAGGCGTTAGCGTCGACGCCGAGCCTATCATGGATCTTATTACGTAGCTTAGAGACGACTTCTAGGTTACGAGGAGGACGGCGATAAGTTGATCGCGGGGGACGCGAGGGTCGCGGGTAAATAGCGAGAGCATCGAGGAAGGTCTTATGCTTTGAGATCTTCTTATTGAGTTCGTCGGGTGAGTGGGCTAGTGTGGTTTGAATATATAGCTAGATTAACTCGTCTATTATCTTAAGATTCTTACGGAATTCGTATGTAACATAGCGAAGCTAAAGACTCTATTTTAGGGTTAGATGTTAGCTAATGATGAGCTATGTGTTTCTGTCGTATAGGATCGAGTATCACTCACCCGAATCGGAAGTACTCCGCTTGGCGTTATTGCATATATCTAAACGCCTCGGCAAACCTTGTTGCCGGGTTATCTGGACTATCTGTGCCCTTGCTAAGAAGATAGTCTATTACTGCGTTCAGGGTAATCCGACATCCACTACCTTACTGCTACTGGGTGAGTCGCTGCCACCGAGGAGCAGGATGAGTTTCTGAACATGCTTCTCAAAGATTTCTGTGTCGACGATACGGTCATGCACAAATATGGGACGGATGAGCTGGCGGGAGCGAGACCATTGTGTTGTGGTGGCCTTAGGTCTGCTCAGTGATCAAAAGTATATTATGCGCACGTGATGTCGGGATGGCTAAGATTTTGGTAAAAAGGGAGAGCTTAAGCCAGCGTCCAAGGTAGCCATTTTCGGCAGCCGATTTACCATCAATTAGCGTTGTGGTGTAATTAAGAACTTCTTATGATATACAACTTGCTGTATGTTGTAGACAGGAAGAAGAGAACCGCAGGGCTAAATGTTTCTCACCAGAGTTATCGGCCAATTTCGGCTGGGCGGACAGCCATCGACCAATCAAATAGCCCGTAAAAGAATGACATACCGAGTTGGACTCCCGAGGTCTCCAACTTCATCCGCTTGTATTCGAACGGCGTTTCTGCTTCTTCACGATCATACTCTCCACTCACAATGGCTTCATTCGCGCGCTCAACTCTGCTGCGACAGACTCTTGCCCCCCGGGCTCCATTCCTCCAGAAGAATGTCGGCGTTTCGCAAGTCGTCGCTTTCCATGCCTCCGCTAGGAAGCAGATCCTGCCCCCATTGCCTCGTAAGTAGAGGCCCTGCCACAAGGCTTATTGAGACGCTGCCAATGGATAGATCTATTGGGTGTCGTTTATGAGCAGTTGCTAACGTGATTTTCGCGATACAGAGACTGTCCAGGGAACCAGTATGTGATTTCCGCGCCTTTCCTATTCCGACCCTCCCCTCGCTTTTCGATAGCATTGAGTACAAAGCCACCTGCAATCTGTGGAGATATACAGTTTCCGTTGCTCTCAGCACTCAAACAATGCCTCCCGTTGAACCGCAATACCACCGTCGCTGAAGTCTTCGATGTTAACCTATCCCGATAGTGAACGACCCTGCTCCCATTCCCGAAACCCACCCCTCCGAGGGTAGCTATCACTGGTCTTTTGAGAGGTTTGTGCTCCCTTTCGATCACTACAATACCGACCTATACAACTCCTTCCGATAGCCCCCGGCCATGCGCAAAGAAAAAACCCGGCTAACATCTATCTCAGACTGGTCTGCGTTGGCCTGGTCCCTCTCACCTTCGCTCCCTTCGCCGCTGGCTCCCTCAACCCGGTCATGGATGCCATCCTATGCTCTCTGATTGTCGCCCACTCGCACATCGGATTCCAGTAAGGGCCTCCCCGCGCTATCCCGCAGTTCCCTCAAATCTACCCCAGATCTGCAATCTGGAAATCGCAATCTAACATCTCTTTACTAGGGCCGCCATTGTCGATTACTTCCCTCCTTCCCGTGTGCCCAAGTTCCGCGCCACCTGCAACTGGCTCCTGCGCGCATTCACCCTCACCACCGCTGTTGGTCTGTACGAGTTCGAGACAAACGATGTTGGTGTGACCGAGGCTCTGCGTCGTATCTGGACGGCATAGAGTGCTGTTGCGGTTTTTCTTTTCAGACATGATGTCTTTCTATTTCCTTTTTTTTTCTGCTTACCAATTTGGTTCTGGTCTATCCAGGCGTTCCGTTCCGCCTCTGTATATGTCATTGATTATTTTTCTTTTGTCTCAGCCCGAATTTATTGACCGGTGCCGGATTCCTGCTGCTCGAGGTTGTTTCTGAGCTATAGAAAAAAAAGACGGAATATAACCCTTGTACGAGAAGACATCCTGGTGTTTTTTTTTTTTTTTTTTCTTCTGTATACTACGTAGATTATGGCGGGATTCTTATGCACCAACGGTACATTGAAATATGTGGTAAATTGTTAGCAGTATGTAAAATGAGCACATTGTTTCTACTCACCGATCATATCATTCTCTTAAACATGAATGCTAACCCTTTTAATTCTATCCTTAAAAAAAGGCATAATGATACAAACACACAGAAAAACAAGGCTAACGAGAAACAAGAGATCCTAAACCCTAATATTCGTTCACTCGTCATCCTCACTCTCCTCACCATCCCCAGGCAACCCATCATCATCGTCCGCACTCTGCATAACAGCCTCAATAATCTTGAGCGTTGCCTTAAGCGGCAACCCAACAACATTGTCATAACTGCCATCAATCTTCTCAACAAGAATAGAACCAAGCCCCTGCAACCCATATCCACCAGCCTTATCCGCGCCCTCCCGCGTGCGCACATAAGCCGTAATCAACTCATCCGTAACATCACCATCAAACCGCACCGATGTCTCCTCGACCGTACTCTCAATGGCATACCCCGGGTCCCGCGCACTAGCCAACGGCGCCATAGCCACAACAGCCGTGTAGACCTTGTGGTCTCGGATATCACGCAGCGAGCGCAGCATGGTCATGTGGTGTGCTTCAGAGCGGGGCTTTTCGAGAATCGAGCCTGTAGACGGGTCCACGACGACCGTGTCTGCGGCTAGAATTAAGGCCGGCTCGCCCTTGATCTCGTTGTTGATTTCTTGCTCGTAGACTGCTTGAGCCTTTTTCGTCGCTGTTGCTAGCACGTACTCGAATGGGCTGAGGCTTTTTGATAGGTCTTCTGCGGCGTTTGAGGGGATGATTTCTATGTTTGGGAGACCCAGGAATGAGATTATGTGCTTGCGACGGGGTGATTGTGAGGCGAGGATTACGCGTTCGTTGCGGAGGTTGTTTAGAGCTGGGAGGTTGAGGGGTGGTGGGCGTGGCAGTGGTGCCCCGCGGTTGGCTTTGAGGACCGGTTTGTCGTAGGCTGGGGGTGGGTCGGATTCGGTGGTATCGAAGTCTTCCATGTGGGACAGGAGAGCTTCTTTGGAGTCTGTCATGTTGGGCAATTTGGTGTTTGTCTGGTGTTTTGGGTATTGCGGGCAGTGATGCGATGCGGGGAACTCTCTCCGTCCGCTTGTCGAGGTAGATGGTATTTGTGTGCAGTTGATTGATCTTGCAAGTATATGCAGGGATATTCAATTGGAATCCCGAGTGTCCACGAGATTGTCCACGAGATTCTTTATGTCACGGGTTTGTGCAGAGTGTATAAGTCTGCGTTTGCTTCACCTGGAAGGGGCTCGGTTTCTCCGGCAGATATCAGGCGGTAAGCTGAAGCTGTTGTGACCCCTGAAACACATGTGTAGTCTATGTAACTAACATTGAGATTCCACCTTTTGTCACCACTGACTGCATTGATTAATTATTTCGTCTAAATTTCCGAAGCTGTAAGATATACTTTTTGTATAATCTAGTTGGCTACCTAGAAGCTGCATGACTGCAGTTATTCTCCGTAACCCTGTACACGTGATCCAACCAAAGTGCGGCTTGGTCAAATAATTCCTTTTTGATTTGAAAATAAGAATTGTCAAGGTGCGTGTTCAGTCAAAGCTGAAAATAACTCGATTTCAGGTTGGCCATTGGGAAAGAAAAACGCCCCAGTTGCTTCACAGCAACAGCTGTGACCATATACATTCTGGTACCTGGGAGCAGAAACAAACCAGAAAAAAAAAAAAAAACCCTTCAATGTACAATACTTGAAAGAAGTAAGAAAACAAGAAATACAAAAGCTGTAGCACCGTATTGATAGTCGTTCAATCCACTGAATGCGGTGGAGGATGCGTGATTGACATCAAATCATATTCGAAGACCAGATCTGTCAGGCAACAGGAAGCCCCGCAATTGATCATTTCGAAGATCTCGTTTTTAATACAGGAATAGAATAGATAGACAAGAAAAAGAGATTCGTAGTGTGGGTATAAGTCCATGTGGTCCAGGATTTGACAAAAACCGCTCGGACCTCGGCACATGCTAGCCCCAGCACCCTCGTATCGACCAGCGGAGGGGAACAAGGGCTGCAGGATGCCGATCCAAAGCGCAATAAGATACCGAGGGAAATATGATCACGTTGGGCGGAAAGAATCGTCCACGCGGCCGCCTTTGCTCTCGATTTCGGCGATAAGATCGTGGCGTTCTTGCAGTTTCACGTGGATGAAGTCCACGGTCTTCTGCAGAACGATGCTCTCACTCCGGCCCTGGCCCTCCAGACCAGGTACCAGTTCTGTCAGGCGATCGAAGCCTTCGCGAATGGCCGCGCGTCGCTTTTGCTCCGAGGCAATGTGATTGCTCTTTTTTTTCTTGATCGGTAAGGCGAGGTTTGTCCTTGTCTTGGGCAGATCCCGGCTTGGATGTTCCATTCGGCGTCGAGGACGACCGATCATGCTCATCGTCTGGATTCATCGTGGTGCTTGATGACTGGAGGATTTTGAAGAGGAACTGAGGGCTGTGGGGTAGATGCGCCGAGGGTAGACACGGTTCGGGGGCTCGCGATTTCGATTGGATGGGTTGGATGACTATGGTTATTGATCCGAGTCTCCGTCGAGGCAAGGCATAGATGAGGGATGCGATTGTAATCGGTAGGTAATAGGAGAATGTTGAAAGGAAGAGAGAGGAAGTCGAGACTCGAGAGACATGGGAAAGCGATAGGAAGCGATAAGGCAATAGGGCCAATGCGGAGTAAAACTAAAAGCCCGGGAGCGGGACTTGGCAACCTCTAAACGTCATAGAGAGGGTCCACTGAACACTTCTTGCTTTTTCTCTTTTTCATGTTAATTCTGTTCTCACTCTGGATTCCTAGTTCAATTTTATATCAAATATTGTAATCATCTCAATTGAGATCCTTAGCAGACAAAACGAGTGTTTGGTCGCTCATCTCCAATCTATAACCGTCTGTCTAGCTTCAACCTTGCGAAGTTACCAACGCCGCGGTAGTTCTTGTACCACCATGGCCTTCGATCCGCTCCGCGGCTCATGTTCTTGTGGTCGAAATGAATACCAAATCAATATCCCGGATGATGTGACAGACCATGCCGAAGTGTACTTCGACAGCAGCCGAGACAATCGTGGGCAAATCCAAACTAAGCTTGTCGATCTCCCGGCTAATATCGAATTCTAGGTCGATTTCACGGAACACCTCTTTCCGCGTGGCTACGAGTGCCTCTCAGTTGGTATCAATCCCACACTCAGTCCTTCTTCCCAGATGAAACACACTCCTCCATTCGCCGCATTCATTCACCTCGCCATGCACCCCAAACCCAGCGTGTCTTCTGTGGATACTGCGGTACACCCTTGACATTCTGGACAGAGGATCCCATCGAAGAATCCAATTTCATGTCTGTCACGATCGGCAGTCTGCTGGTAGATGACCAGCGTGCACTGGATGATCTAAGATTACTTCCCCAGGACGACGATGAAGAAGCTCCCCCCGGTGGTATCTCGACTTCATCTGAACTAGTACCAGGCTCAGACACCGCTTCATCTTCGGTCGTCGTTCCGCCATCTAATGACTCTGTGGATATATCAAGGAGTCTGCAGCACGGTAGAACTGGGGGGATCCCTTGGTTTGAAGAGATGGTAGAAGGGAGCCGGTTAGGTCGGTTGATGCGTGCTCGACGTGGTATGGGAGTCAGTGATGATCAATCGACTTCAATCCAATGGGAATTTAGCGAATGGCATGATGATGGAACCGGTACAGGTGGGTTTCTGCAACAGGATTCGGACTCAGGCGGACCCTTGAGGAAGAATAGGAAGCGGGTGAACCAGTCAGATGCTGAGATTGAGTCTCCATCGAAGCGAGCAGGGTAATATCCGCAAGTTCCTACGGATACGATATGAGATCTCGACATTTAATGTAGTAACCAAAAGATTAATGACAAAGGCCTTGCTTTTTCGGCTTAGTATGAAAACCAGAGGACCTCGGGACGGAGAGTGAAAGAAAGACAATCCGATACCGTGAGGTGCAAAACTTCATATAGTCGTTTAAATCAAATAAACATAACTATGTTTTGTATATATTTCGCTCTCACCCGCTACACTAACCTACATGATGACCTCTAAATTCAACACACGACTGTGATTATTCAACTTATCATATTACCTAGGGATACGCCAAACCTTTTATCTGACCATATCGGATGTTATATGATGTACAATATAGCTTCAAGGCACCCGCGTTATAAGTAAGATCGACTGTAGAAAGTTTTGGGTCGCAAAGCATACCCGAAGCGGTTAAGCGCCATCCAGACGACACGGGGCTGACCAACATCTTCTTTACTTCCATTTTCCCCCTACCCGTGGACAATGTACAATACCTTGTCAAGTACGGAACATGGTATACTGTGGTAAACCAAGCAAAGGATGTGGCGAGTGCAGGTCCAGAAAGATTCGGTGTGACCAAGCCCAACCGGCCTGTTCGCAATGCACCAGGGCCAAGCGGGACTGTCCCGGATATCGGGATCAACTGGCGTTAATGTTCCGCGACGAAAGCAAATCAGTAGTCCGAAAAGCGGTTGCGTCCTCGACAAATAAGAATAAACAAGAGCGATCGCGTCGCACTGCAATCCCAGAAAGGAAACCTATGCGGTCTGAGCTCGGTCTCGTGGTGGAGCAGGACTTTGACTTCAATTCTGATCCACAGCATGTCTTTCTTATGCGACAGCTCGGGAATTACCCGTTGGAGGTCCAGCCGTCATATGAGCTCGAGGCCACCAAATATGAAGCAGTCTGTTATCTCCTGCGATCCAATGCCATCCCCAGCGGCTTCTGGACTAGTGGGATCGTTTCCAATTTTTTGGTGCAGAGCGGGGGATCTGCAGGCCAGAGAGCCATGAAGACAAGCGTGGTTGCTACTGCTACGGCTATGCTCTCGCGAGTAAGAGGGTTACAATCGCTTAACGATATAGCCCGCCGGGAGTATGGATCCGCTTTGAGATTGCTTAACGCCGCTCTAGCCGACATAGAGGAGGCGAAAACAAATCAAACCTTGGGCGCTGTTATAATGCTTGCCATATATGAAGTATGGAATTTTGCATTCTTGCCCCCTCAGATGGTTGTCGCTGACGCTCTGTTTATAGGTGATTACATCAAGAGCCCCGGAGAGTATTGACGGCTGGACCAACCATATCAATGGGGCAACAGCCCTGCTCGATATACGGGGCACTGATCAATTTAAGACCAGCGCCGGTCTTCGCTTGTTTTTATATCTTCGATATCAGATTGTGGGTGTCGTCGACCACTCCTTTGATCTCAAGCTAATCCCTTAACCAGACCATCAGTTGCCTACAACGAGACGCACGAGTGCCTGACTCGCTACTGCAATGCACGGACTTCGCGATGTTTCTTGACACAGAAGAAGCTCACGGCAATCGATTAGTCATGATAATTGGGAAACTATCGAACCTTCGCGCAGATATCCACACCAATACGTACAAAAGTGAGCGGGAAATCATATCAGCAGCGTCGGTCATCGAAGCCGATTTAATTGCCTGGCTGGCAGCTCTTCCCCCGGATTTAACTACACCACCCATGTAAGCTCCCCCTTCGACCTTGCCATCAAGAAGCAATTCCGAGGCATATCGCCATACGACGATCAATACCACGTGTACCCCACCTCCTGGGTCTGCAGTTCGTGGAACCAATACCGCAGCGCCCGGATCATCGTCAGCGAAATCATCCTCTCCCATGTCCGGAAACTATCCGAAAGTTCCTCTCTAGCCTCATTATCTGAAGAGCTTCGTGTCCAATGCAGGACACTGCGATCGACGATTCGGCGGTTAGCCCTGGAGATCTGTCGCAGTGTTCCGTTTCACTTCAACGTCCACCTAGTAACTAGGGAATCTAATCTCCCACCGCCTGAAAGTTATATTGGAGGCCTAGTGCTCCTATGGCATCTATTCGTCGCTGGGGTTGTTGAGAGCCCCCAACATAGGCTGCGCCGCTGGGTGGTCAAGTGTCTGGAAATGATTGGAAAGACGATGGGTATCGACCTGGCACTTGCAGTGGCAGAGATAGTCGCTGCTGATCCTGGAGTTTTACATCCTGTGACTGAGGAAGAAGACATCGACACCCATTGAAGTGTCCAGCGTGACCTGACGAGGCATCATGCAGTTCAATCGACCTATAAGGGAGGTACTTGCCTCGGGATATATGACGACTGATATAGTTGTTTCTTTCATTGTGTTTTCTTTCTCTATTACTTATTGGGTTGAACTAACAGCGTCGATACGTGTCTAATGATTTGTATGTTTTCCTTGTGTTATAGCCTAGGGTTTGGGCGCCTTGTGTGTTGATTATCATTATGACTCATGAACTGTTTAATAGATATTAAATTAAAAGATTACAGCCTCTGTCATGATTGCTCATGACTTCCAATAAAATTCCAGAAAAAAACAATAACAATGGGTCAGTTCATCCTGTGAAGTATATTGTACGAAGTAGACGCTGCGCCCTGTGCACCCGGATGGCCCTATGCGGGGGCTGTGTTCGCTCCGCCACTAGTAACAAACGACCATCTGTCTGTGCATATCCCAACTCTCCGAAACTGCGTTTATATGATTGGTTAAATTCAAAACACTGACGCCCAATGACCCTTGGTTGTTGCTCGTCTTTAAGGTGGGGGGACTTATCCGTAAACGAGTAGAGTAACATTGCTTCTCAATATCCCTGTCAGTTCCAATAGGGCTGCAGTCAACGAAATACGCCTTATGATTTATGATGGCATTTTGTGCCTTACACAGACTTTGGGGGCTTACTGTTAGATTGAAACTCGTATCTTGACCATGTGTTTGGGGTAAAATCCTTGTTTGTCAGAAGTATGCCTTGCTATCCATTCTTTGTATAGTGGGTTTCACAGCCGAGCCCCTGATAGATGTCAAACATGTAGATATAAAGAAGGTGTTTCCTGGGTTAAATCCTTTGTTTGGAACATACATTTAAGAATATCAGAGCAACCTCCAAGAAGTCCATTGGCATATATTCCTCACCTGCACTTCATTTAAATATACACAATCTTCAGCCATGGGCTCTCCCGAAAAGACATCACTATGGCACTCCTTCTCATCCAGCCATCGGAAAGAGCGGAAAGAGCGCAAAGAGCGCAAAGAGCGCAAAGAAGGGGCAACCACACCAACACATTTTCCATCATGGTCCCGAGGCCGCACCCATAGTTCCAATACATCAAATTTCACAGAGAAGCAATCATCAGACCTTCCACCACCATACGTGGAAGCAGCAACCCCCACAATCAGAATCAGCGCCCCCGAAGAACCAGAATCCGATTCCCAGTACGCCTTCCTCGGCAACTTCCACACCATCTTCCTGGTAGATGACAGCTCAAGCATGAGAGGCGAACTGTGGGAAGAAGCCAAAGGCGCGATCGCGGCGATCGCGCCAGTCTGCACAAAATATGACAGCGAGGGAATCGACATCTACTTCATCAACCACCGACCAAAGTCGAGCATCAACTCCAACTACAACTACACCCACGGCTCCAGCCGACGTCCAAACCTCGATGCGGGCGGATACCACAACATCCGAACCGCGCAACGAGTAAGCGAGATCTTCTCCTCCGTCAGACCTTCTGGCGGGACAGGAGTTGGCAGTCGACTGTTTGATATCCTGGACCCGTACACCAAGCTGGTGGAAGCAAAGGAGACAGAGAAAAGACGAGTGCAAAAGGACGCGTCTGGTCCGGGCTTCTTGGTTAAGTCGGTAGAGGCGGCGGAGCCGGTTAAGCCAATTAATATCATCACGATTACGGATGGAGTGTTTACGGATGATGCGGAGAGCATTATTATTAAGACGGCTCAGATGCTGGATGGGCCTTCTTGTCGTGCGATTCCATGGCAGGTTGGGATTCAGTTTTTCCAGATTGGGAATGATGAGATGGCTCGGCGGTACTTGGAGGAATTGGATGAAGAGCTTGGGGATCGGTGTAATAATTTGCACATGAGGGATATAGTTGATACTGTTTCTTGGAGAAATCGGGCTGGGAAGCGGTTGGAAGGGGATGGGATTTTGAAGATTGTGCTTGGGGCTGTTCATAAGAGGTTGGATAGGAAGAAGGTTGGATAGATGTTAGGCGTTTTATTTAGGATCATCTAATTTGATTATTATATTTCCCAATCGCATATTTTGACCTACTTAGGTATGTTATGTTGTATATTGGAAGCGCCGGAGTGGAGAATTCTCGGACATATCGAACATCTGTGGACTCAATTAATCTCCACCAATAAGAAAATGGTTAGAGCTCGGGCCCTTGCAGCTTCCTGCAAACTGGTGATGTTTTGGAGAATAATAGGTACTTATGTTGTATATACATTAGTTAAATCAGTTAAATCAGTTAAATCAGTTAAATCAGTTAAATCAGTTAAATCTCTTGATATATAACATCAATCGAAAATCGATGGAATCAATCCTATGAATCTAACTAATCTAACTAATTTAATTATGTGTACGACATAGTACTCCATACCTTGCATGGAGATCGACGAACCACAATGACGGGGCCATCGAAGGATCGCAAGCCACACTGTGTTCGGTCCTGAGAATCAGAGATCATATTATTATTATTATTATTATTTTTCTTCCTCTCTTAGAACAACGTATATGTTGTAATTCTCATACACGGAGTAGATCAGCACGGATTATTGATCCCTCCTCGCTCCACATCCTCATCACCGCCAATTTCGTGATCGTCAAAGTCATCCCCGCGCCGATCGCCTAAAAAAAAAACCTTGAATTCGCCTCTCATCCCCCTTCTCTCTTTGATTTTATTCACTTTCAGCCTTCAGGGCTTCATCCTACTGTTTCTACTGTTTCTACTGTTTCACCTTCCATTTCTACCCCCCTGTTTCAACATCCCAACCCGCAGCGCTAAGAGACCTTTTAGCGCCGGACTCCCCTACGCAGGAACAATTCCCAACCCGAAGTGGTCGGCGCGTCCTTCTTCCGCTCCCTCATTGGCCAGTCTTGTCGCCTTTCACACTGCATCAGGGAAATTGCACCATCACCATCGCGGTTCCTGAAGCATCACCCTACAACTAATTTGATTATTTGGTTTGGGAGTGTGTCCAGGCCATGGCATTGTGATTATCTACGTTACCCCCCGAACACACCTGAAACGAACCGTTTATTCTTAGACCTGTCACTCGATTCTGAAACAGGTACAGCGTGCTTCCAACCCCTTCCCGGCTGTAATTATAGAACCGTCTTTGTGGAGTTGGCTTTGTGTCTGTGAGCTCTGGTGGGTTTTGTTATAAGCTCGGGCTTTCGCCTCAAGTCCCTTTTTTTTTGACCTCTATATAGACTGTCCTTTTGTTGCCTTGCATTTGCGTGTATTCTACTGGGATTCTGTCTTTTAGCATTTTCTTTCCTTGCTATTTTGCATTGTTGTGCATTTTCTTTCTCTGATTTCTTCTTCTTTTTATCTGTGCTATTACCTGTTTTGCTCAGCGACCTCTCTTTTACTGTATTTTTTTTTCTTTGGCTGTCTTACCTTGCGATGATCTCGACTACACTCATGACTTTCCTACTGTGAGTGCTCCCCAGTGCAATTGATATATCCACGCGCTGACCACGATTCAGGATTACCAAACCGGAGGTCCGGTCGGTCAAGCTGCTCGGATCATGGGATAATTTCTCCAAGCAATATGTGATGGAAAGAGATACGCGCGTCGGACCAGGACACTGGAGAGGATGCCATACCTTTACAGATATCATAGGCGATGGACCAGACAAGTCCCAATGGCGAACAGGAGGTCTGAAGATGGGTGGCACTTACTGGTATTATGTGAGGCTGATATTCAATCGCATGAGAGGAAAGAGCTAACGAGGAAAATAGTATTTGCTCGATAATGATATAGAGTATTACAACGAGGCCGAGCCAACGACTACGATGTGCCCGCTTCTTCCAGGGCAGCCCATGAACGTGCTGAACGTCCCTATCATTTTACCCGACAGTCGCGCACATGGACGGTCGGCGAGTGGCAGCTCCCAAAGATCTGAATATCTTCGGACTATGAACCCCGAAGACAAGTTTATGAACCCGCGGAAGCCGCCGCCCCAGCCTCAGCCACAGTCACAGCCTGTGCGTCTCCAGACATCTACACCAGTCCGTCGCGAACCGAGCCCTGCAGAGTTGTCGAGCAGATCTCCGATGGCCGGAATTTACCGAAGTGCATCTCAGCCGCATCGTGCCACCCGTAAGGGTCACAAGAAAGATTCACGTTCTATGTCTCCCCCGAGAGCCCGGGCCCTTCTGGCTGCTTTAAGGCAGCCCACTGAGGCGGATAGAAAGTTCGAGCCAGTGCAACCAGTGAATGCTTCTCATATAGCACTGCAGCGGAAAGAGCCTGTTGAGAATCGCCGCGACATCCCTGGAGTCAAGGTCAACGCTGGAATCGCAATTCCATCAAGCTCTCCTGACAAATTTGGTCCGTCCACCATTCAAAGTCGTCGAGCGATGAAAGCAACCGCTGGAGAAACGGCAGCTTGCCATCTTCTCACAGTGCAGACGCGTCCGGAGCCCCGTAAACCGAGTCCTTCTCGCAGCGTAGCAAACGGAAACACCTCACCATTTGACGATAACCGTGCGATTAGGGAGGCCCTGAAGGATATCGCCAACTCTGGTGACTTGCCCACGCCAACTGCGGCGTTTACCAAAGAAAAAAGACTCCCCACACTTCCAAACACGCCATCTTCCGTCATGGATGAAGCGGTTCGCGCCATTGATGAAAGAGACAAGGCGATGGACGACGAGATTCCGCGCAGTTACTTCTCCAACATGACAACAACAACAGTCGACTCCACTCACTCCCAGTTCGTGCCTGAATACAGTCGGTTCTCTGAATGGAGCACCGACACCGAAACCGACTACAACCCGCATGAATCAAGAGTATCAGCCTCCGCATCCAACCATCACCAGGACGAGTCTTCGACCGAAAGATGGACAACACCAGACCTCTCACAGTCTGGCGATGGCGCAACCAATACTGACCCAAACACCCCGCACCTCACTGTCTACTCCAAACCTTCATCTCCGAACTCGACATCCGGAGAACTCCCTCCCTGGAGCGTCGATCTCCCCCAACTCACCCTCTCCCTGTCCACACCTGGCCTAGACTGTTCTGGGCTGGGCATTGAGAACATGGATGAAGTGGAAAGCAACCCCAAGCGCCACGCTGCCCTATTTAGCGCTCTTGAATCCATGGAGGCCCTTGCGATGTCGCGCAGCCCCAATGGCTCCCCGATCATCCTCCCCCAAGTCTCCAAAGGCTCGGATACGGAGCAAAAGATCTCTCTCACAGAGCGGAAAGTGAGCGAGACTTCCCTTGAGCGTATTCGCTCCCGTCGTAGCAACGCCTCGTTCCAGGGGAATGCTACCATGCAGGAGTTGATAGATGAGCTCAGTTATCTGAAGAATCTCATACAGGCTGACATGGATGGGGCTCCCTTTTGACAAGGGACTCCCTCTCAGACACTTTTGTCTAGTAGTTCTATTCTCATGTTTTTATTATCATATTGCTGGCGCTGGTCGTCGGCATTGGAGTTTTTGTACTCCGCAAATGTATCATTTAGCTCTTAATAGAGATGAAATCATAACAAAGCAAATACGATGAAAAAGAAAAACATATTTTCGATCTATAATTTAATCTACCTGGTAGATAGTAGAGTAGAAGCGAATTGATGTAAACTCCAGAGTGACGTTGGTGAATCTCAACAGATCGGAACACCAAAACATACGCGCCAAGAATCCCTCTCTGTATCCACCACCCGCGATCAACAGCTTTACACACCTCAGTTCTTGAACCTCTGATGTTCCCAAAATAAGAATGGGCTGAATGTGTTCTTTGTCTTGAGAAAGAAACACCCATAATGGCAGTCGATGGCCCCCAGCTGACCCCCGTCGGGGAGAAGTCCCTACCAGCAAAATGTAAGGCGCGGGCCGTGGCGTACTGTCCCACAATGGACCTGATAGCGTTGGCGACCGAGGACGAAGAACTACGCGTGTTCCGACTTAATGGGCAGCGAGTGTTCGGGGGCTCCTTTGGTGGAGATCCGTATCTAGGCGAGGATAAAGAAGATGGCGAGATTAGAGGGATGGCGTGGAAGGGGAATGGTGAGTTTGAATTTCCTTGTCGCTAGTCTTTGCGATATTATTTTTTTCTCTATGATCAGATATTCCTGGCCTTGTTTGTTAAATCCACGCGCGATTATTTACTAATGCTACACCAGGTCGCCTCCTCGCTGTCGCGTGTGGAGATGGCTCGCTCCGCATCATCAGTTCCTATACCGGGAAGACGGTGCACCATTACCAGACCTATCAGCAGAAAGAGGAACTGTCCCATCCAACTAAGAACCCGACACCCAAGGCAACGTGTGTCGGGTGGGGTGCCAATTTCACCGATAGCAAAGCCGCACAGCGGCATTTGCATGAATCCGCGGGGCAGGTCTCCGTCGACGACCTTTTAGCCCCGGGAGTGTATCCCTCCAAGGCAACTACCACACTTCAAGCAGATCTACCCAGGGAACTTGCCTTGGTGGACATTGAGAGCTCACTGCCAAAGCTGAGCACCCTGCCTGCAACAGGAGGCGAGGACGATGTTTTTAGCTCGCGGGTGTCTCTCGACGCTATCTTCCATTCTTCGAAGGATTCCAACGACTCGGTTGATGTGCTCTCCGTCGGATTCGACGATGGAACTGTCCACCTGCGCATCTTTGATTGCTTCGAGATTGGCTCTTTTGCCGTGGGAAGTTCACCCGGTATCTCCGACTCGTGCCGTATCTTGCGACATACTTCGCACCCCTTGAGCTCTACGCATGCCCTACTGACCTCGCCGGTTAAGGGTGTCACCCGTGGTCCGCTTGAGCTTGTTACTATGGACCTTCGATTTATTACGAAGTCTGGGAGATATCTGTCTCTTCTTGCGTCGAAGACTACTCAGCTTCAGAATTTGCTGCGCTATATTGGTCAGGTGCAGCGGCAGATTGAGCTTGAGTGGAAGAATGCTCAGGAGCTCCCTGCGCGGTTCTTGCGCAGTGTCAATGAGGACTTGCAAGAAAAATGCCAGTGTGATTTTATCACTGCTATTTATCACCTGGTTGTAACTGGTCATTGCTTTGAGCCTATGAAAGAGTTCCTCACGGATATTGTTGGAGAAAGAGTATGTGAGCCTTGCCATTTGGGAGATAGTATGCTAATGAACGGTATAGGGCCACAAGAGATGGGATAAGGCTGTCTCGGGCGGCTACGAGAATATCCGGCGACTGACACATGAATGTCTCCTGCCGGCATTAGAACGCAGTCAAGTACTTCTTAGTCGACTGGTTGGATTGTCTAAGTTTCACAAGCTAAGCGATGTCCTTGGGCTGGACACGACCAAGCTCAATGCTATCGTGGAGACACTTGATTGTCTCCATCTTCTTGCGCACCGTATTCTCACGCATGCCAACGAGGAACTCGGCCAGTTTGCTGCTTTCTCTAGATGGTTATGTTGCGAAATCCATGTTGTCAACAGCGAACCCTTGTCGCAGACACTTGAAGAGCTGCAAGAGAAGCGAGACTTGTTCGATGTCCCTCCTACTGTGAAGTATATTAAAGGCGCATTGACAAAAAGTGCTCTGCGGAACTTTATCCGCCAACTTCCTATGATCGGAGCTGTTCAGCCCCCTCCCCTCCTACTGATAAGTGGCTTCCAGGTGAGCATGACTGCTCGTTCTTCGACACTTTCAAGTCACTTCTTCAGCAGCAACGCCAGTCCCGGGACAAGGGCGGTGATGGTACATCTGTCGAGACGCCTAAGCTCAATGACTTGACAAGGCGTTTAGGCATCCAGTTTGAGAGGGTGTTTGGGGATATTGCCTTGACTCAGCGCAGGGGAATTCTCCATCGCTCGCCTTTGACGCTTCACTCTGATTGCGATCAAGGGGTTATCGATCTAACTTTCTGCTACGAGGTGAGCTTAAGACTGCTGGCTTCTATCTTGTCCAAAATGCTAACTCGAACCACAGGATGCCATGGAAGGCCAGCCTTGCTCAGTATACGTCGCTACCCGATCTGTCACATCAAAACATCAAGGTCAGTCGTACAATCGCTCTTCGTATCACAGCTGCTTATACCCTTGCAACTAGTCTACATCTACCGTGTCGTCCTCAACTCAGTTGGCGGCGTCAGCTCAACAAGTAGTACATCTCTCGCAACCCTCGACCTCCAAAACGGCGAAGTTCGCCAACTCCAATTCGTCAAAGATGACACACTCATGGTTCTCTGGCGCGACAGCAGTAAGTCACCCGCACGTATACTTATAATATACCTATTCTAGGTTTTACAGGCACACTCTAACAATCTACTCGAACAGAAGGTTCCTCCCATCTCCTCAACTTCCCCTTCCAGACCGTCTCAACACAATCCCAAGACGAGGCAACCGACCCATTACCTCTGGAACTGAAGTATATTGAGTGCGACAGCACGCCATCCGCCCCCAAGCCTACCATCTCAGCCACGACCCTAGATCTCTCGCCTGAATCCCCTCACGCGGGTGTCCTTATACATCTCTTTGCTCCGCATGGCCCGAAAGCGCGGCCTGTGCATGTCGATGTCAATGGACGGAAGGGAAGGCGTGCTATTTGTGTTTTGTATGGGGATGCTATGCGGTACGAGGTTTTGGACTTGGATGCTGCGATGGGCGAGGATGAGGAAGAAGATGAGGATTATCAAGAGGGGGATGAGGAGGAAGATGAAGATGAAGATGATTATGGCGATGATGATGAAGTGTTCGACAGTGATGAAGAGAATAATGAGAACTAGGATCGCATTATTACATGGGAGGCTGCATCTTTCACGGGATATGGTAGATTAACACTGCACCACTATTATGTTGATTGATCTCTTTGCTAGGGAACTTTTCCGTAAGGCGGGCAGTCTTGGACTCTTGGCAGAAGGATTCGCTCTTCTTATAGTCAAGACACCTACGTTAGCGTATGTAACAAGATCTATCATTTCCCCAGGAATTCTTACATTAATTCGTGCCGATATCCAAAGCACAAATAGTTCGAATTCTATAGCCGAAAGAATTCTAATATCTCTGCAGAATTTGATATCCAGTTCCCCCGGCAGTCATCATCTAAAGAAACCAGCTTTTCGTCCCTCCCAGCAGCCAACCATTCATCTGCGCCAACAGAATTCCACAAAGGAACATTGCTTGGCAGGGGGAACTGAAGTTCACCTGCGGTTATCAAAGACCGTACTGTATTAATATCTCCATGGCTTTCATCTCTTATACTAGATCTGCTTGCCTTCCCACAGACCTTGTACAAGGCTATATTAAATTGTTTGATTTCCTCAACACAAACCCAGACGAACGAAGCCAAGTCAGCTTCTTCATACTTAGCAATGATGTTCGGATAATAGAACATTCCTAGCCTTCGACAACTTCGGACAAGAGCTTCGAGTAATTCCAAATCAGCTGGGGGAAGAGAGACTTTCAAGTCGAAATCGACAGCAGTCCGGCTGCTGACAAGAAAAGAGAAGATGATATGTAATAGGATAGCCTGGTACATTGCTATTGGCCAGACACAGGTACTGCAAGCTCCAGGTGCTTCCGAGGCATCCCATTTTTCCTACCAATCGGGTCTTAGTAAAGTCGGCATATAGTGTGGGGGAATATTATTAGTGGTGCGAACCCTTTGATCTCGAAGAGCCAAGTCAAGTTTACCGTGGAGTTCCACTGCTGCTGACTGCGCAGATGGTTCCCTAGTAGCCCACAGGCCTATGACTATCATTGATTGAACCAGGAAGGGCGTTTCACGACGTATGTCGAATGATCCTTGGTGGATGAATGGCCAAGACGGGTGGAAAGTCTCAAAATAAAGACGGATGTAGTGCTCTGCCTTCTCTGTATTCTGTGATTGTGATTGTGATTGATCATGTTTCATGCTTGATACATGATGTGTTTCGGGTCTGGGAGATGGATTCTCTACCGTGCCAGCAGGGTCGTTGAAAGAGCACTCAATCTTACGACGTAGACACTCATCGCATGGCACACCTCCTCTGCACCGAGACTTGCCTGCATGACAGCTCTTACAAGCTCGCTGTGCACGCTTGAGAGGTTCAATTATCCCATGACGCTGACGGACATGGCGTCGAAGTGTGTCACTGAGTTCAAGGTGAGTTAGAGTGGGTGTTTGTAGAATGAGTATAATAATAATAAGAAGAAGCTATGTAGATACCTTCGTCCAAATTGCCTACCACAATTGGAACATAGAAAAGCCTGCTGCTGAACGTGTTTTCTTTCGTGGCGGTGCAGGTGCTCCTTGCGCTGGTAGCTGGCGTTGCAGCCAGGAAAACAACACTTGAAGGCATGGGAATTGTATGTAAGTGAATATTGTGAGAGATCTAATTCATTACCAAGGCTTGCCATCAGGTCGAAAACTGGATGTGGTTAGCGAGGTGTCGATGAAAATGGCTTTCGGGGACTCAGAAACATCCATGGATGTTCTTGATTCCGTGAACCCGGCAGATGCTATTGGTTGGTTAGGTCCACTACAGTATACGGCATGTTACAGCGACCATGCTGGAACATAAAGTACAGATAATCACATATAGTTATGGATCTCTAGTGTAATACTCTAAATATCGCATACTAAATATGAAGAATTCCTTTTATAGGAATTGTCTGAGCTGTTGCGGCTATGAATATTACCCCCACTGTACACCGGCCCTAAGTATTTGCTTCCATTTCATAGCTAAGGACTGGTATACCGGGGCACTAGGTTCCAGGGGGTCTACCCATGAAGTTACTATGGAGTCGTATTTGTATAATTACATATATATTCCAAGATTGCCTATCGACAGCATATTTGATTTGAAAAGGTGAATATTGACCAAGATGACGAAAGTTCCGGCTTACTCGTGCTCGGTCTATGGAAGAGTAGATTATCAAAGAAACAAGTAATGTGAATAATCCATAATGTTAGTAAAAAGGATGTACTAGTAGTGGCATCCCACTAACTAGGTGGAGACCAGTGGGAGGCCGGTTGGGGGCCGGTTGGGGGCCGCTTACGGGGAATAAGTTCAGAGTAAATCCCCCGATGGTTGACACAGTTGCAACAAACACATCTTATCTTACAATTTGTTTGAACAATATCTTTCTTTATTTAACATGTCTCCTTCTATTCTCATTGTGGGTGCCACAGGCAACACTGGCCAAGCTGTCGTTGAAACCCTACCGAAGTTGCTTCAATCAAGCAATGCCTTGTCTGACCACCGTGTCATTGCCCTTACTCGTTCCTCAAAGAGTCCAGTGGCACAAAGACTTGCCAAGGTGTCTGGAGTTGAAGTGATAGAGAAGAACTGGGTTGATATCACCTCCGACTGGCTCCGTGAGCATCAAGTAACCAGAGCATTCATTGCCCCACACAATAATACGAACGCCTTCACCGAAGAGTCCACATTCCACATTGCTGCCTTGAATGCCGGTATCAAATACGTCGTGCGAATCTCGACCACTGCTACCAACGTCCGCGCAGATAGTCCCGCTTTCTATGCACGTACGCATTGGGCGGTCGAGGCTCTCCTAAGCTCGCCCGAATTCACCAACCTACAGTGGACTTCACTCCAGCCCAATATCTTTTCGGCGTTCTACCTTTCCCGTGCTGTTGAATTTATCAAACACTACCGTAAAACTGGAAAGCAGGGCCATCTCAAGTTGATAGTGTCGAAGGATGCACCTGTCGGTATAATAGACTCTTCCGAGGTTGGGGTCTTTGCGGCTCATCTCTTGTCCCAAGAAGACCCTTCTGTTCACAACAAGGCCAAATATGTCCTGAATGGGCCAGAGGACATTACTGGGCAGCAGATGGTGAACTTGGTTGAGCAGTACATCGATACGCAGGTTGAAAAAGTCAGCTACCAGGACACATCATTCATTGAACAGATTTGGGAGCACCAGTATGCGGGAACCAATGAATCAAAGAGCGTGATTTCTTCTCTCAAATATGCTCTGGTGACAGCATGGGAAGGAAAATGTTCAACTTCAACCACGAGCAAAGCAGTACTGGAGATCGCTGCACCCAAGATTACACTTAATGAGACGTTGAAGGGCCTTCTGGAGGAGTAAAGGAACAAGCCAACCTTAGAATGGTACACGGGTGACTCAGCGGTGTCAGGCAACCTGGATCTTCTTTCGTCCTAAACCAATACGGAATCTTTGTTGTCCCTTTCCTTTGTTCATAGCTTTCCGCAGATCACATTAGGAACATCCTTTCAAGTATGGCCCCAAAAAAGCCAATACCCACCAAGTAATTAGCAATTATAGCATCATGCGACGCAATATCAACATTACCACTTAAATATTCTTGATACTGTCGACTCCCTTTGTTGTATAGTGTTGACCAACTGTGATTGAAATTTCTCCTACTGCGATTACAATCTCCCCCGTTATTCTCTATAGCGGGAAGTTGCACGGCGCTAATGAGCTACCCGTTCGATACCCGGAAGTAGAATGTTACGGTCTAGTCATTATAGCGTCAAGCTAGACCGTTCCGTTGCGGGGACAAGTAACTCGAACAGTGGCGTTGTTTATCAACTGGTTTCACTAAATCAGGCCCAGCCTGTGATGTTGCAGCGGCTAGGGGAGATGAGACCGAGACATGAAAATGGAGCAAAATCTAGAGGAATAGCTGCATGCATACTCCACTTAGTTACAATTTGACTCCTATGAACCGCCATTCGGCGATTTCTTCGTGGGTTCTGAGATTTGGGGGCGAAATATCTGGGGCCGTACAGCTGAAGATCGCCGGAGTAGAGTCCTTTCTCTCGAATAGGTCCACGGCATGGGCTCTATCCACCTGGCGCCAATATCGCAGAAAACTCCAATACAATGTTCAAATTGAGAAGCCGCACGATATATACGGCGATTTATTTTAACAGGTCGGTCTGATATGATCGTAGGTGCATAACATGAAGTTGGTTTTTTTTTTTTAACAAAAATTAAAAAAAATTAAAAACCTGCTAGGACCGCGGGAGATCTACATTTTTCGCAAATCAGTCGTACCGTTGATATTCGGTCCCTAGTCTAAGTGCTTGAGTTAACATATTATGCTCAGGTGTCAACGCAGTCTAAATTTTGTTCGGTCCATCACTCGCGCCGCATAATGGATCACTAGAAGCGCTGCAAGACATGGGACCGTGGGTTTAGTATCACAGGTGGGTAGATCAGTCTCGGATTTTCAGCCCTTTCTTCCTACAACATCACTAATAAGAATGTCTAACTCTTGTGACCTACGAGCCACGTGTTAGGGATAAGGTAGTTCGGTTTGCTTCTTATGTCAAAGGCAGTCTAGGTCAACCAATTAATGCCAAGTGCCTAGTCCGTATCCCTCGAATTTGAAATGTTGGGTTTGGAAAACAGTTCCACAGCCTGACTACAAGCATCGAATATCCAGCGATCAAAGGCGTCCATGATGACCATATGGCAATCCTCGGAACACTGGGTCATGTTCTTTGAGCTTTAAACCTTGCCAGCCCTGAAATGTACATTCCTGGGGATGTCAATATTTTCGTTCCAGTGCATTTGATTCAGACGGACGAAGGTACTACAATGATGCCAAACTATTTCTGCTAGAGCGATGAAACGAGAAGACAGAAGGCCAATCTAAGCGAGGAATAGAGAGCATACCCAGCCTTATTGGATAACATATGCTTTCTATACATCTATATATAGAATAGTAGTCGGCCGTGTATGCGGTCTTTGTCCTTGACAACTTGGGACTATAATGATTTGGTTCATCTGGCTCAAGATTATATAAAAGAGTTATGCATGGGAGCACCGGCATATCTTTCTGGATATCTTTTTTTTCTCTTCTCAATGACCTTCTACAAGGACAATGAATAGTACATAAGACTCGAATATGTACAATATACGAAGGCGGTAAAAGGCATAAACCGTACAAAGGAATTTTTCTATGTACCAATAAGGATAAGCTAGAATTCTTTTTTGTGCATGTATGTAGTTAAGTCTCGATACAGTTGAGACCGTAGTGGGAAATCCGATGGAGATGCAACAGCCGCAAAATTTGCATCGTCTCGACACTGATGATGCTCCCCGAGCTGCAAAAATGCAGCGACAAACAGGTAGAGAATGACAGTCAAAACTGAGATGGTCAAAGTAGAGACCCTCAGATCCGTCACCTTTTTGTAGCAAAAGTCCTCGACTGAGCAAGGGAGGAATACTGCCTGAGGCAGATAATCACGTGTACCTGACTAACCCCCGCACATGGACCAATCAGAAGGCAACCCCCGTAGAACCTCACCCATTGTGGTCTTTCTTGCTTCGAATCTTTGTTTTAGTCTCTTCACATATTTTGCACTTCCACAGCTATTACCATCTTCTCCAGACTTTCCCACCTAATTATTGTGTGTTGAAATCTGGGCGTGCACTCAAGGCACCTTTTCCTCTCTGTGCCTCTTGTCGCGGAAAGACCTAGTGCATGCCGCCTCGTCATATCCACAAAAACACCCGTCCCTTCTTCCCACTCTTCCACAGGAAATCCTCTTTCCACCACAGCTTCTATCGTGGTGATCACCGAGTGTCGAACCCTTTGATTGATTCGGGTCCAGAGGGGTTTTAAAGTCTTTTTTTCCAATCTTCTCTCCACCTCTTTTTTTCCTTCTTTTTTCTCTTTCCCCCCACATCCTTCATTTCTTTGCACATCATGGACGCCCGTCAGGTGTTGCAGAGTACCCTCGCGCCAGATGCGGCCGAGCGTAGCAATGCCGAGCAACAACTCGCTCACGCCGCGGAGGTTGACTTCGTATGTATCTCCCCTTACCCCCTCCCCTTCGTCCTGCCACGAGCCATGAAAGATTTCCCCAGGATCCCGAATGCTGATACTTCTGTCACCTAATAGGCTGCCTACCTTATCACCCTCGGTCAGGAACTTGCCAACGAGAGCAGCCCCGCTCACATTCGTGTCGCTGCCGGTATCGCTTTGAAGAACGCTTTCACTTTCCGGGATCAAGCCAAGTTGCGCGAGGTGCAGCTCCGATGGGCTCAGAGCATCAACGCCGAGACCAAGACACAGGTTAAAGAGCTTGCGCTCAAGACCCTGCAGTCACCCGATGCTCGCGCTGGAAATGCCGCGGCCACACTGATTGTTTCCATCGCCGCCATCGAGTTGCCGCGTGGTGAGTGGCCCGAATTGATGGGCATTCTTGTCCAAAATGTCGCCAGTGGAAACGACGCACTGAAGCAGTCATCTCTCACGGCCATCGGTTACATTTGCGAGTCGCAAGATCCCGATCTCCGCGCCAGTCTGACTCAACACTCCAATGCTATCCTCACTGCGGTCGTCCAGGGTGCTCGGCGCGAGGAGCCGAACATGGATGTTCGTTACGCTGCTATCGCCGCTCTTAGTGACGCCGTCGATTTCGTGCGAACCAACATGGACAACGAGGGAGAGCGCAACTATATTATGCAAGTTGTTTGCGAGGCCACCCAGGCCGATGAGGTCCGTGTGCAGGCTGCTGCATTCGGCTGCTTGAACCGTATCATGGGATCCTACTACGAGAAGATGCGCTTCTACATGGAGAAGGCCCTGTTTGGCCTGAGCATCATGGGCATGAAGAGCGAGGAGGAGGAAGTCGCCAAGCTGGCTATTGAATTCTGGTGTACTGTCTGCGAGGAGGAGATTGCCATCGAGGATGACAACGCTGAGGTATGTATCAAGCGCACGAGACCGAGTGATTTTGACCATGTGCTGACGTCATGTTTCTCATAGGCTCAGCAAGAGGGTGTTGAGGCTCGTCCTTTCTTCGGATTTGCTCGCGTCGCCACCCGCGAGGTTGTTCCCGTCTTGCTCCAATCTATGTGCCGACAGGACGAGGATGCTGATGACAACGAGTACAATGTCTCTCGTGCTGCCTACCAGGCTATGCAGCTTTACGCACAGTGTGTGCAGGGCGATGTTATCCAGCCCGTCGTGACTTTCGTCGAGGAGAACATCCGAAACGAGGACTGGCACCGTCGTGATGCCGCCGTCGCTGCTTTCGGCGCCATCATGGAAGGCCCCGAGCCCAGTGTTCTGGAGCCACTTATCAAGCAGGCCTTGTCTGTTTTGCTTGGCATGATGGAGGATAGCTCCATCTCCGTCCGGGACTCCACTGCCTACGCCCTGGGTCGCGTGTGCGACTGCTGCCCTGAGGTTCTCGACCCTGAGGTTCACCTCCAGCCGCTTATCTCTTGTCTCTTCAACGGTCTCGCCAACTCCCCCAAGATCGCCAGCTCCTGCTGCTGGGCTCTTATGAACGTCGCAGATCGATTCGCTGGTGACGATGGCTCACAGACCAACCCTCTGTCGAAGCACTTTGAGGACAGTGTGAAGTCCCTACTGACCGTGACCGAGAGGTATGTCCCCTGAATGATACCCCTTTGTTTCCCTTTGTTTCCCTTTGATCTAACACCCGTACAGACAAGACGCCGACAACCAGCTCCGTACTGCTGGATACGAAGTTCTTAACTCATTTGTTATGAACTCTGCCAATGACAGCCTGCCTATGGTTGCCACTCTCTCGGATGTTATTATTCAGCGTCTTGAGCACACTGTTCCCATGCAGCAGCAGGTCGTTAGCGCCGAGGACCGTATTCTCCTCGAGGAGATGCAGACTAGTTTGATCAGTGTCATTCTGGCCATTGTCCAGCGCTTCGAGGTCGAGATCAAGCCTCAGGCCGACCGTATCATGAGCGTGCTGCTTCAGGTACTGACTACCCTTGGCGCCAAGTCAAGCGTGCCGGATGTTATCTTTGCCACCGTTGGTGCTATTGCCAGCGCTCTTGAGGACGATTTCATCAAGTACATGGAGTCATTCAGCCCATTCCTGTATAACGCCCTGGGCAACCAGGAAGAGCCTGCTCTCTGCTCTATGGCCATCGGCTTGGTCAGCGACATTGCTCGTGCTTTGAACGAGAAGGTCCAGCCTTACTGCGATACCTTCATGAACCTCCTTCTCAAGACTCTCCAGGTGAGCTTGTTTCCCTCAGATATACCGAAGTTGACGTCCAATGCTAATTCCTTAAATAGACTTCCACCAACCAGCTCAAGCCTGCGATTCTTGAGACCTTCGGCGATATCGCCCAGGCCATCGGAACAAACTTCGATACATACTTGGCGGTCGTTGGCCAGGTTCTCCAGCAAGCCTCCAGCGTGACCACCAGCTCCGACCTCCCATACGACATGGTGGATTACATTGTTTCTCTCCGTGAAGGCATCATGGATGCTTGGGGTGGTATTCTTCTGTCCTACAAGGGCACTCCTTCTAGTACGTTGCTCTTTACTCTCCACCCAGATACGATGTAAGCATGCTAATTAGATCACAGTTACCCAACTCCAGCCTTTCATCGAGTCTATCTTCCAGCTTCTTCACATTATCTCCCAGGAGAGCAACCGCAGCGAAGGTCTTATGCGGTCTTCCATGGGCGTTATTGGGTATGCCTTGACACCTTCTATTCTCGATTGTCTATACTAACTGTTCACTAGTGATCTTGCTGATGCCTTCCCCAACGGTGAACTCGCTGCCTACTTCCGCAACGACTGGGTCACCTCGCTCGTGAGGGAGACTCGCACAACCAGACAGTACAGTGAGCGCACAATTGAGACTGCCCGCTGGACCCGCGAGCAGGTCAAGCGCCAGATCAACATGGGTGCTGGTATGGCATAAAGCTGCTATCTCTCACCCAGTTGATTACCAGTGCTTGTGGTCCGACCCCGTCTCCAAAGGCATCTGCCACTTACATCGAGCCTGTTGGCCTCCGTGCCACAGGTCGTGCCACAGGTCCTAGGGCTGTTTGAGCCCACACCCAATTGGTGCTCCTGATTTGTGCAGTGTAGCTGCCCCGTTCTCGACGTTTTCGAACCCGAGCGCTTGGCCGTTAGCCTCAAGCCCCTCTACTCTATTTTTCCCAGCACAGGATCCCCCTCCCATCACTCCCTTTGGTCACGAACTCCGTTCCCCCAAACCCTTTGCTGGTGCTCAATTCCCTGATGACACACGTTCGAATGAGTTACCCTTCCCAGTTTCTGTATGGCCCTGTCTGAGTTTCCTTTTTCTTCTTGATACAACCCTTTTCACCTTTCCCAATCCCCCTTCTACGTTGTTTTTAATTAGACAAGACCCCTTCCCTCGCATCTTATAGCATTGCGACTCATGTAGCCCAAGAATTCATGTATCCCCCTCCCACTCTACTGTGCTCCCCATTCATGTATCCCTTCCCCTCATGTCACCCCCTCAGAAAAGAGTCATTGTCATGAAAAAGCTGTCCCTGATTTCGTCTCCCTTCCTCGTATACGCCGCCGATATTGCCCACGACCATGCTATCACGCTGGAACGTCATGTACAGAACCATCCATCTGAACCTTGCCCACGGATGGAATAAGTGAATGACATGCTGATGAGTTAGTAGTAGTAGAAGTAAGATGTCTGTATGATTATGTGTGTTGAAGTTTTAATGGTCATTTTTCGTTTTATCTTTCGAGCTCTCTTCCTTTTGCTGCTATACTTATTATGGTGTAGGTACAGCCCTGGAGTTTCAGCTACATTGTACATCCATTGTAGTGCATGTACAACATAGAAAATAGTGATGCCTCGGAGTATCAAGGCACCAACCTGGGGAAATATCTATCACCACGTGACCATATAGATAAGGGCTACCACACGTACCAACCCTACCCGCGCACCACCCGAAAACCAAACTTTCACCGATCGTCAATTTCTTCCGCTCCATCCATCGACGACCATCTCTCGAGGTATGTGCTATACCCTCCCCCAAAAACAGCCTCTCAGCTAGTCTGGGGATGCAATCATCTTGTCTAGATTGCTTCCATGTGAATTATAGATAATTCTCAGGAATCGCGATCCAGGAAGCCAAGATGATACGCATCTCCCAACTCGGCACGGGCTGAAGAACTCCTTGCAATGCAAAAAAGGGGCACTCTTTGCGCTCGAAGACTAGTGGTGGCTGACTTGAACCGCCTTCGTGAAACAGATACCTCAAAATCTTTACTTTTAAACGTTCCGATTTGAGAATCTCGATTCTACACTAAACCGCCAAAATGGTCAAGACCTCCGTCCTCAACGATGCGCTTAACGCCATGAACAACGCCGAGAAGGCCGGCAAGCGCCAGGTCCTCATCCGTCCTTCCTCCAAGGTCATTGTCAAGTTCCTTGCTGTCATGCAGAAGCACGGTACGTGAAATTTGAAATTTTCTTTCTTTCCTTTTTTGTTGCTTTTTTTTATATATTTCTGTTTGTTGCTTCTTTTTCCATCACCTGTCTTGAGAATATTTGTCCCACCCATTCGGGCTGATAACTAGGCGGCCGGTCTCAAACAACCTACGACGTCTGCCTTTTAAGTGTCCGATATATCAATTTGCGAAGATCTTACACGTTTCCAAAGCGCTGTTATGGCTTTTTCAGTATTTGACGACTTTTAAATCTTCACAACATGCTGACTCTTTTTTTCTTTCAGGCTACATTGGCGAGTTCGAGGAGGTCGATGACCACCGCTCCGGCAAGATTGTCATCCAGCTTAACGGCCGGTACGTATTCACAATTACATCCATCAACATCCAAGAGAACATCAAGCTAACGTTCATACCTTCAGTCTCAACAAGTGTGGTGTTATCAACCCCCGCTACCCCGTCCAGCTCCGTGACCTCGAGAAGTGGGCTACCCAGCTCCTTCCCTCCCGTCAGTTCGGTTACGTTGTCTTGACCACCTCTGCCGGTATCATGGACCACGAGGAGGCTCGCCGCAAGCACGTTGCTGGAAAGCTCCTCGGCTTCTTCTACTAGATGGAGTCGTTCTAAAAAAGAATTGAGAAAAGTTCTTGCTTTGACCGGTTATGCATAGCGATTGGTTTTACTGGGCTGGGCCCTGGAATGTAATCTGGACTTTGTAGCTGTGAACAAAATACCTCCTGTTCCGCACTTTTGATGGTTTGCATAGTACATGGTTCGGTCGTATATCAATGCTAGGTGATTCCGGTCTGCAATTTCTGTACCATTTGACTCCTTTCTTTCTGCTTCGCTCGTAGCGCAAACCGGACCGAGGTATAATTTCACCGCCCCCGGCGTACATGTATTCTGCCTTTCCCCCGCAACAACAGCAAAGGCTAGTCAAGTCAGTACCTGTACATAGTTGAACGTTGAGCAACTCAAGTATTGATACGCCATGCCTTTGGACACAATATATCTGACCCGTCATGGGGTATGTGCTCTATCCCCTCAACTCTGGGCTCGTAGACCTAACCATGACAGCACCGCCTCAACTGGACCATTGACTTCCGGACGGGCACATACAGGTCCCAATTCCCTACACCGACAGGAAACCCCGCAGACCCGGCGCTGACCTCGCACGGCGTGCAGCAGTCACACGAGCTGGCGGAACACATTGTCGGCCCGCAATTCCACCCGAAGCCATTCCGTGTATACTCGAGTCCCTTCTACCGCTGCCTTCAAACAATCCAACCATCTGTTGAAGAACTGAAGAGAATATCAGCCGGGTCTGGAAAAGGCCAACAAGATGGCCAGTCTGGGTCAATTGATCCGCATGCGGAGTTTGATGTTCGAATTGAAAATGGGCTAGGGTAAGTGATATCTATCTCTATCTATACTTATACTCCCTTCTCCTACCCAACGAAGCGTTTCGCTCTCTTCCCAAATAAAAGAAGCACCTTACAGGCACCTTATCACCAGGAGAGCTAATTGGAATCCAGAGAATGGTTCGGCGCAACAGACTTCTTCGACCACCCGGCCCACCCAACCTTCGAAATAATGTCCACCCACTTCCCAACCCTCCTCTCAGAAGCCAGCCAAGCCTACAAACCTCTACTCATCCCCTCAAGACGCGGTGAGACAATTATGCAGCTCCACAACCGCGTAGCAGCAGCCCTAGAAGGCATAATCGCCGACATCGACGAAGAAACCTCCGCCCTGGAAGCAGAGCTTCCACCAGACCAAAGAACGAGTAAGTCCGTCCTGATCTGCGCGCATGCTGCGCCGCTCATTGCCATGGGACGGGCTCTTACGGGCCAAATGCCGGATGATAGTTCCGAAGAGGACTTTAATGTTTTCACAGCTGGTTTGAGTACTTTCAAGAGGAGGGAAGCTTCTTCTACTGCTAGTGCTGTCCAGAGCGGCGACCAAGAAGCAAATTCCAATGAAAAGCCACTTGCTGAGGGTACGACGTTCATTCGTGCATCGGGATCACCGCCGCAGTGGAAGAATGGGCGTGGTGTTGGGGGTGGATGGGATTGTGTTGCGAATGGAGATTGTAGCTTTTTGAGTGGTGGTCCTGAGCGTGGATGGTGAGTGCATTTCTTTCCTTTTCCTTTCGGCGTCGAGAGAGGATATTAATTAGACTCCGGCAGGCACTTTGATGGCGAGGAATCCTTTAATACGGGTCCTATGGCTCCGCCTTCCGAGCCACCTGCTAATGTCGGTGTTACGAAGCTATGAGTTGATGGTTGGCGCACTTATTATACTGGGGCAATTTCTTGTGATGAACAGAACGAGGGTATCATTTCATCCTTCCAAGATCATCAATTATCGGCGACTCCGAAACTATGACTACAAACCGGCAAGTTAGGCTATCACAGGTTGAGTTGTCATGGTCTATCGCTACAATTGTCAACTCATGTCTCGCGGGATGACTCCCGTTCTCAGCTAGCTTTGCTAGCGGTATAAGAGAAAGCCAAGATGAACATAAAAGCAATATTTCTTGCTAGAACTATATATGATGTACATAATAGGAGCATCTAGTCCAAAGCAATATGGACAATTGACTTGAAGAAGGGCTTGATCGCCATATGAACTTGATTTTATGGAGGACCTTGTTGTGGGTCACTGTAGTTTTTGTTGAGTTCAATTGTAGAAGGTAGATGAAAGACGCTACCGCTAAATAAAAATATGGATATGAAAAGCAAATATACCTCCCGGTATAGATCAGGTCTCTGCTGGACCCTGTTCAGACCGTGCATGCGCGGCGGGAACCTACTCTTGTTCAGTACCTGCAGTTCCCGCGCCCTCCGTCACACCAGCTTGAGCCCGTTCCTGCTCCTGGCGCTCCCGTTCCTGTTCCCGTGCCTGCTCCTGCTCCTGATGTTCCCGCGCCCGACGCTCCTGCTCAGCTACGAAAGCTTGGTCTGCCGCGGTGCGAGCCTGGACGTGCCGCTCACCGATACCGGGAACTAGACTCGCAAAAAGAAAAACAAGGGCTCGCTCCGCGCGGCGTATCTGATCCCAAACATTGAACTCCGCAGCAGCGTCATTGGCTCCGGTTTGGGTGGCCCGATCTGCCGGGCCACCGGCATGGGTAAGGCCCTCGAGATGACGTTGGATGGGACTAATAATCGTAGTCGCAAACTGCCGCGGGATGTCCGTCTCAGAAAAGAATGTTACCAGCAAGGCAATGCCGACGAAGATGTAACGCCTCCAGGTGCCAGGGGCACTGGTGAGGTAACAGAAGAGCCACAAACGGGTGAATAGCCAGATGCGGCGGATGTGTCGTGCTAGGCCGGCGTGCTCGACGTTGTTGCCGCGGCGCTGCTGGTTGAGCATTGCCTGGCGGACGGCGTTCTGGACTACCGCTGCGTTTTGGCCGGGTCCTTGTGGTCCTTGTGGTCCTTGTGGTCCTTGTGGTGCTTGGGGTGCTTGGGGTGCTTGGGGTGCTGGAGGTGCTGGAGGTGCTCGAGGCGCGCCAAATTCGTTAGTAGGGGCTGTATTGGGCGAAACAGCCTGCTGCGTTATGGGTTGGGTTACCAAGTGGTGCTGTCTCCCGGGACCGCTATGGTTATCTCCCATTGGCGAAGCGAGCATGAAGAGCTGAGTGGAGTTTGGTCCGAGCGTGGTCGAAATACATGTTTGGGCAACAAAGGCGCTTTGAGCTATACCGCTTGTCCGCAAATGCTGTTGTTGCATAAATTCCATGAGACGGGCGCGTTGTTGAGCATCAAGAATACGAGCAAGCAGTTCCGCAACACCGGGCAGAGGAAGTTGACTCGCAGGCCGTGCATCTTGAAGTTCAAGAAGCTGGTTCCGTATGCGAATGATATTCTCCATGGATGGCATGATGCGTCGGTCCAGCTGTCTCTCAATCTCCTCGATGTGACCTCGTAAAGTGCAAACACGCCCAGAGAAATCTGCACCATGGGCTTCTGTTACATTCGTAGTTTCTGAGTGTCGGTCAAATAAAGAGGTGTTGACGTATTGATTGACTGCGACGTGCGGAGAAGCTTGAGTGGAATCCATTGTCCTGGGAATGCTCGGGTATGAGGACATGCTAGCTGCAGTCGCCGAAGAACCAGGGTTGGAGTCACCAAGCCAGGCGGGGGAGGAAGCGGAAGCTTGGGCAGAATCCCCGAGAGGCGAATGTTGCGGCATCTGAGAGGTAGGAGGTGCTCCTGTGTGTGTTGGATCAGGTGGCAGCACAAGGTGCATACTATCAATGCCTTCCTGTAAAATAAATCCCATTCAGTTAGGACAAAAGGTCATATGGTGCAGGTTAGAAGTAAGTTACTTACCTCCATAGATGAAACTACTGCTCCGAGTGTTGCGTCATCTGCAGTTAGGGGTTTCCCTCGGTAGATAAGCCTTTGGTGTGATGCTTGAGGATTATTCGGAAATGATTGCTCGATCCGGCTCTTGAGCTGTGCGATGGTGGACGAGAGCGCAACGTCCTTGAGTGTGAACCGGCTTGGAGGGGGTAGAGACTGGCAGAGTATGTGAAGTGTTATTGTGCTCTGTGTGTCCCCCTCTAACATGGGCTGAGATGATGATCCTGTCGCCATTGTTTCAGAACTGTAGTTGTTTGCAAGCTAAAAAGCCCATATAGAGCTAGTCTAGTTGCTGATATCTGGCATCAATCAATCGATAAGCGATATCGATGTGGTAGCGTCTTCTGCGAGACCCCTATAACAGCTAGGAAGTAAATAGGAAGAGTGATGGAAGATGATATAAGATGCAAAGAGTTAGAATCGTAGAAACGCTCATCTATAATGAATTGTATTTGGGATCTATAAGGTAGACAGAAAGACAAGGCTGTCCATTGTACCTCCACGTGCGATTCTGCCGGGCGGTCAATCGGCAACAACATGTTTCCCCATTTCGGGAAAAAACGCTCTGGGCTTAGGGGTCGATTTTAGCGCTCCAGGCCAATGGATTAAACATTATGGCCCAGCGCCTTTTCACTTCCTTGCCTGTCCTTCACTGCCCTTCCGTTGCCCCTCGGATTGGGGCTGCGTCGATGGAGGTTCTTTCGTTCCGGGCCACCGCCCGTCATAAGGCCAGCCTCCGGCATTTTTCGTCTAAATCATGGAGACAATATAACAAGGACAACAACTCTGAAAACAACAGAGGAGGATTTGGGTCAAGGCTAGGGTTCGCTCTGCGAAATACCAAGGTCGAATGGTATCCCATCCCAGTCGGACTCGGAATCGGGTTGCTAGGGTTGCTATCTTTCTACAAGTCGCAACGTGCGGAACGGGATCGGCTGGCTCGTGATGCAGCTGGTGATGAATGGGAAGATGGAAAACGGCCACCTCCTCGTCCGAGGATCAGCCTGTCAGGTCCATGGCATGTTCAGATCATGTCCACTCTGCCCTTGAAGGCCATGTCGCGTCTATGGGGTCAGTTCAACGAAATCGAACTTCCTTACTACCTCCGCGTTCCTGGATTCAAACTCTATTCTTGGGCCTTTGGTGTCAATCTTGAGGAGGTTGCCGAACCCGACCTGCATACTTACCCGAATCTGGCGGCATTCTTCTACCGTAAGCTGAAGCCTGGCGTTCGACCGTTAGACCCCGACCCTCGTGCCCTTCTGGCTCCCTCCGACGGCCGTATCTTACAATTTGGAATGATCGAACGGGGCGAGGTTGAGCAAGTCAAGGGAATGACATACAGTCTGGATGCCCTCCTCGGAGCAGCCACACCTGCGCACGCCGACCACACTAAGCGACTCACGGACCAGGGCCGGAAGGAAACTCAAAGGGATGTCGAGAACATGGCTGCGCATGAGGAGTTTGCGCGCATGAACGGAATTTCCTACACTCTCCCGAGTCTTCTTTCAGGAGACTCCAGTGCCCCCAAGCGTCGTGCTTCATTGGATGCTTCAACCGCATCTAAACCAACCTCCGAAATTCAAGTACAAGAGGATCTGGCTCGTGGCGATGGAACACCGTGGTACGCACCCAAAACAGCAGCCAATCATGCCTTGTTCTACGTTGTGATCTACCTAGCACCTGGTGACTACCACCGTTTCCACTCCCCCGCTCCCTGGGTGGTGGAGAGCCGCCGCCACTTTGCCGGCGAGTTATACTCGGTTTCACCATACTTGCAGAGGCATCTACCTGGTTTATTCACTCTCAACGAGCGAGTTGCACTCCTTGGCCGATGGCGGTGGGGTTTCTTTAGTTACACACCGGTCGGAGCTACCAATGTAGGCTCCATTAAGATCAACTTTGACTCCGAGCTGCGCACGAACAGCTTGTTGACTGATACCGCTGCGGACTTGGCCGCAGCCCTGGCTTCTAAGCGCGGTGAACAGTATCCCGGCTTTGTTGAGGCGACTTACCGCCACGCCAGCCGGACACTTGGCGGACATCCCCTACAACGTGGAGAGGAGATGGGTGGATTCCAGCTTGGCAGTTCGATCGTACTTGTGTTCGAGGCTCCTCTTGGAACTCGCAAGTCCATTGATGCCGGCTGGCCGGAGGATGCCCCTAGTGATGGGTGGACTTGGAGTATTGAAAAGGGTCAATGCATTAAAGTAGGGGAAAAATTGGGCTTTGTGGGTGAGGCGTCAAGTGCATGATGTTGCACAGCCCCGGTGTGCCCAGGTGCACAGCCGACACATGGTACCTTGTTGGAAATCTTATTTTTTTTTTTGACCTACCATGATAGTAGGTCTAGGTCTGTTTTTTGTATTATACCAGTTCCTTTACTTTTAAGTCATGGTCTTGAGCATTTACTTTAATCACATTATTATTATTTTTTTGATCTATACACTCATATACACTAGTTAACTATGGAGGATTGAAGTATATAATGTGCATATTTCCTAATTAGGATTAGCATATATCATATCTTGGCGTGATGCTATCGCCTCCGCCAAATGCGTCATTACCCTCTCTACTTAGTTCTCTCTATTTCAAGTAAGAGATGTACTAGATTAATGTAGTAAAGTAATATAATTAATTCAATAAATTCAATAAATCCAGTCAATTCAGTTAACATAGAATAGTAGAGTTCAAATTACAAGCATTGGGCCATAATGCAGTGCAGTCAATGCAATGCAATAAGATAAGGCAAAATGTCCACCAAAGGACTATCAACGTGGGCCAACCTTGAAAGATTGCCAAGCTTCCATATCTAAAGGCGAATTCTCTCTCCTTAACTTCTTCACCTTCTTATTTCTTCCCCCATCTAACCATCTAACCATCTTTTGACTGATGGCCATCTTTAACTTGCCCCGATCATTTCAAAATGTCAATGCTATTGCCCAGGCCCCAATGGGCAACCGCTTCTTCATAAGCGCCCATGAAAGTCATCCCCCATTCTTTCAATTAGTGTTACTCGTCTTTTCAGCTGTGCTCGAAGTCGTGTGCGTCAGTCTCCCTGGTTATATTGCCGCCCGTCAGGGCATGTTTGATGCCGATGCTCAGAAGCTGGTGGCAAACCTCAATGTGACTCTGTTCACCCCCTGCCTCAGTATGGATTCCTTTGCTCTCATGAGATATTTTTTTGGTGGCGTAGCTGATTCCTGTTCACAGTTTTTACCAAATTGGGCTCCCAATTAACCGCTGAAAAGCTGACAGACCTGGCTATCATCCCGGTTATTTTTATTGTCCAGACTCTTGTCTCATACTTGTGTTCCTTCGTTGTCGCAAAATGTTGTCGTTTCAAGAAGCGGCAGTCCAATTTCGTGGCTGCTATGGCGGTATGTAGTGTGGACCCTGCCATTTGAGAGAGTCGAATCCTAACGACTCCTTCTCCATAGGTCTTTGGCAATTCAAACTCTCTGCCGATCTCTCTCGTCATATCACTCTCCCAGACCCTTAAAGGCCTCCACTGGGACCGGCTCCCAAACGACAACGATGACGAAGTCGCTGCACGCGGCATTCTATACCTGCTGATCTTCCAGCAGCTCGGTCAACTCGTGCGCTGGAGCTGGGGATACCACATTCTCTTGGCGCCTAAGGACCGATACCTCGAGGAGGCGGAACGTGATGAGAGTGGCCAATCAATCATCGAACAGGGCCAGGCGCGGTATAGCGACAACCCGGACCAAACAGACCCGGACGAACCCCTAGTCAGAACGCGCAGCTCAGACGATCTGCACCACGCAACACACAACGATCGCCGGTTCCCATCCGGCGACCAAACACCCGTGTCAACGCGAACTTATTCCTACTCGAAGCTATCCGCCACCCACTCAGACGACATAGACTCAGATGATACACCATCAGTAATTGGACCACCACCCACCGGGCCTTTCCTCCCCCGCCAAAGCTCTCAAGGCGACATCCTCCAATTCCCGGATGTCGAAGTCACCGCGCGCGAGGCTCAAGAAGCCGAGAAAACGCGTTTCCAGCGCTACAAAGCGTCTCTGCGCAAATCGCGAGACCGCCTGAGCCAGTGGCGCGAAAAGAAAATTAACGCGATCCACGCGCGCCTTCCGCCAAACGTCCAAAAGACCCTCGCATCGACCGCTCTCGGGCTGCGTCGCTTCCTCCATGGCCTATGGGACTTCATGAACCCACCCCTGTGGGCAATGCTAGTATCCATCATCGTCGCTTCTGTTCCGGTGCTCCAGCACCTCTTCTTCGATGATGGGACTTTCGTACGTAACTCAGTCACCCGCGCAATCGAGTCGAACGGACAAGTCGCCGTTCCGCTGATCCTGGTTGTGCTCGGCGCGAACCTCGCGCGCAATACAATCCCCGAAGAAGCCCTGGCGGATGTGGAACATCCCCGTGACGAGCGCAAGCTTATCATCGCTTCACTTGTTGCGCGCATGTTTCTTCCGACTCTTATCATGGCTCCCATTCTGGCGGTCATGGCGAAGTTTGTGCCGATTAGTATTCTCGACGATCCGATTTTCATTATTGTCTGCTTCCTGCTCACGGGTGCGCCATCAGCCTTGCAGTTGGCGCAGATCTGTCAGATCAATAATGTCTATGTTGGCGCTATGTCGAAACTCTTGTTCCAGAGTTACGTTGTCTGGTATGTCCTTATCCTTCCTATTTATAGAGAAAAGACACCCCCTACCCCTTGTTGTCGATCTCAAGCATTGATCATTGCTAACATGGCCTTTTTTTTCTTTCAGGATCCTCCCATCAACCCTCGTGCTTGTGATGGGTGCTTTGGAGGTTGTCGAGTGGTCTGCTGCTTCGTAAACTCTTTGCTTTGCACCTCAACCTGAACAGTGAAGCTGGTCTTTCCCTCTCTAGGCCTGTTCTTTTTTTTTCTGCTTTCCGGGTCTCTTTTGCATTCACTCTCTCTCCTTGGACACTCTTGTAATTACCCATTCCTTTTTTTCTCTTTGGGGGAATTGGCGTTTCCTAAGGCATTATTCCTTATACACACACAGACTGTATTTTCTCAACCTATGCACCTATCGTGGTTCCTACCTCTATAGGACTGTGTATCCTCCTTTGCTATAGCGTTTTTCGGGGCAACTCACTTGATGAGGGTCTGTAAGATAAAAATGACATACATCCATTATCCATACAGCTGACTGCCTCAGTCAGCCCTTCAATTTCTATAAACTTGCAAGAGAAAACACCCCGCACCAACATACCCACCCACCTACAAAATCAAATCCAAACCAAATCCACCATCAAAATGACAAAGTCAACCTCAGACATCTTCATGAGCATCAAACCAGAGCACGTGCAAAATATCGCCTCGGGGTCCAAGAACCACGAATACCGCAGCTATCTCCTCCCGTCAAGTATCCAACACATCTGGTTCTACACCACCAGCCCTATCAAACGAATCGAATACGTCGCCCGTATCTCTCCGGGTAAAATCCCAGGAGAAGTTCCTGATGATGGAGGTATCGGCAATGCGGAATTCAATACCGGGTTGAGTGATTCCAAGTACGGATATGAGATTCTCATGCTGTGGAGGTTGAAGATGCCCGTTAGCTTGGAAGAGGCCATCGTTGAGGGGTTCTTGAAGGCTGCGCCGCAGAAGTATTGTTGGGTTTCTTTGGATTTCTTGCGGAGATTGTTGTTAGATGGGCAGGATTTGTTGTTTTCTAGGACGGTGGATGAAGGTTAGTGTAATAGACTGGATTTGGTGGGAAAACCTATGCGCTTAACTTCAGTAGAAAGGATATTTGTCCATTTATTTTGGATTTGCCTCTTTCGTGGTCTATGGCTTCAATGGGAGCTATTACTGCGTCGTTCTGCACTTTGATATTCTTTCTCACCGGAGTAGAAACTAAGATGTATATCCAAATAGTCCATTAAATAACATGTAAGTAGTTAAGTAGTGACCCAGTTCCATGAATAAGTCAACTATCGCTCAAATTTCATACAAGTCTCAACCCGTCGTAGAGGGACAACTGTAGACCAATCCATGGTAGTATAGGCATTTCCCCATTCAGTTTAAATCTAAACCGAGAGAAAAGTAACAAATCCACGCAGGCTGTCCCCTTCGCAACAGTTCAAGCTTGTTTGTACCCGGCATCATTGTCAGATAGGCCGGTTGCCGATTGACCTCCGCTAAAGTCCTCGAGCTCACCGTACCCCAAGTGTCGAACTGGGTCGTTCGATGCACAACAGCAGACCATACTGTTGCGCTTGGTTCAGAAGTGAAAGGTGAAAGCCCATGGACCTCACCATGAGAGGTCATATCCAGACTGCAGGCAACAGGAACATGCACATGTCGTATAGCAGTGGTTCATGCCAGTGGCCACTTCATCTCATCTTGGTGAGTTAGGGACGCAGTGGCACTGTTGTGCCTAGGACTCGGATTGGTTCGAGTACCCATCGACCACATTCGTAGGGGTTTTGTTAGAAAACTGGTGTTTTTCCACGGGACATCTACAATCGAAATCCCAAGTTTTCTCTCTGGTCATCTTGCACACGGGCATACCTGCAAGTCCACGTTAGTCGAGTCAACATTGAACATAAGCCACATCCAACGTACTCCAAGAAAAGCCGGAACATGTAAACATCTATATCATCATTTCTGATCGTCCTGGCTGCCCAGGATTGGCCCTCTTCACCGATAGTTCGAGCAATCTGTTGGCCAGCAGGATCTTCCTCGAAAAACCGTATCAACTCAGGGATCTCATTCCCGTCTTTGTTGATCGGCACGTAGTGGACCCATGGGACCAAGACGTCCTCGTGCCACTCCCGAAAGAAGGTCAACTTGAATGGAACACTCTTGCTACGCATGAAAGCGTAGAACCTCCCGCTGTAGGCATGACCATCCATGTCTAACAGATACCGGTATTTCCAGGCCTCGCTCGCTGGGTCTGGTTCCGCGAGATCGTCGAAAAACATTTCCTCGTCATGGCAGTCCTCGTCGCAATCCACGATCTCCATGAAATGGGTATTGAAGTATCCCTCGATCCGGGATCGATTTGCCACTTGGACCTCCCATCCTTCATTGCGGCCTGTAATGCAATTTGAATCACTCTTTGGCTGCATCAGATACTGGGGCGATTGTGGATGGGTCAGGTTTCCGATGATACGCTGACGTTGCAGGTTATGCCAGGTGCCGTTCCGACTATGTCCTCCGGTGGTTTTCCCGCGCCAGTATAACTGGGGTTTCTTGTTGTTCCATTCAACTGAGGTTTCGGCGTCGAATTGTGCGATGCCTTCATAATAATATGGCGAGGGAACTGCAATGTCCTGGAATGAAGACGGACGGGACATAGAAAACATCGGGACCAGCTCGTTTGTCACCTTGAAAGAGTTTGGGTGATCAAAAACTCCCAGCCGATATCGCAGCGAAGGGCTGTTGCACATATCACTAGCGGCAGTCTGGTTGAACACAAATCCCAGAGGACCCACTGCATAAGCACTTGAGTTGTCTGGCGCGTTACTATCCAGCGCCCTAGCAGGTGTGTCTAGTGGACATGAAAGCCGCGAATAGAGCCAGGTCTCTTGGCGCTCGATGTCGTTGAATCTGGTCGTGGAGACCGACACTGGTGGGATAGGGTCATGCACATCGCCCGGCGAAAATACGTTCAACAACGACGAGTTACCATTTAGCCGAGCGTGAGCTGCATAGCCTTCAGTGATCATCATGTGCAGCTCCTCATGCGGAATTACCACTCGCGGCTCGTCGTGTACGTTGAATTCCATGTTCATGTCCGGTAACCATTGGGAGAACTTGTCAAGAATCTTCATTGTTGCATCTTTCTGGAAACCCCCTTGGCCATTACCCAAATGGATAGCTCTGCCGTCGCGGATGGCAATGCCCATGACATGATTATCATACCCCAGGTCCTCTCTCACACGCGAACGAATCGTACTAGGTGAAACTCCCCAAAAAGGCAGCAGAGTATGATATATCGTATCGAATTCATCAATCAAGACAGTGTTTTGCGACATTGCAAACGCATACCATTCATCGAAGTGGGGAGGCGGTGGCATCTTATACCGTCGTTGATATTCCGCCACTGCTTCATCCAACGACTTCGACTGGTGCCCCAACGTTTTGTTAAAAGCCTGCTCGGCATCATAAACAAGTCGAGTGACTGGATGTTGGCAAGCACGCTCGTCGATGGGCGTCAAATAAAGCAGTTTGTGCGAGAAGATATACCAAAGGACCAACATAGCCCCTATCACCAGCCCAGGGATAGTAAAAGCTCTCTTCGTACTTCGGTAGTAATAATACTGAGACTTCTGTCGAGCTCCTTGGAGGGATTGGTATTGCTGTCCCTTCCATGTCCCTGGGTGAATGGTTTCAGCCATAGTCACGAGGCCGAGCTGTAGCGACTGCACCCAAGACCGAACGCAACGAATTGCTTGCATCTTGAGAGAGCCCTATAGCTAATAGTAAAGACGCGTAATGTCTCCCCAATTACTCCATACAGTTGAAAAAAAAAAAAAAAAAAAAGGAGAAATTATAGTCCCAAAACGCGAAACGCGAACGTGTGCTCCAAATTGGGGGCCACGAAGCGGGTGGGCCCGGCGATCGACACGGACATCTGAGGACGTCCGAGGATGTACTTTGTCCTTTGGATGTACTTTGTACGGAGTAAAACGTACAATGAATCCGCTGGAAAAGTTAGGTCTTGGAATTTTCATAGAATCTTGTCGGCGGTCCCTTACCAGGGTTCAAGCCAAGGTCGGCTCGAGGCTGCCTTGGTACTATCAAACGAGAAGCCACCATTTGAGGCTCTTGGGAGAGTCATTATCGCCCAAAATTGATTTGACTTGACACGCGACCTCTTTCCTCATCAATTGGGATTATTGAAGTACAGTACTCCGTGGCTGGTCAGCTCTTTTCCAATAGGCTGTGAGCCACCTCGTTCCCGTTAGTACCCCTGAAGATCGTCACTCAGCTCCGAGGATGTCCACTTCGGGCCTAGAACTTGGTTGGCAAAAGTTCAGAAATATATATATGTTGTAGAACGAATGAGAAGCTAGGGTTTGGAGTGTAATTGCCAACGAGTTGGCTAATCTGTAGTTAATACATTTCAAAACGCAGGACATGATTCGCCCCCATCAACGTGCGCAACCAATCCCGTTGGATCGCCCTGCACATCAATCAACATGGCCATACCTGTCGCCGAATGCCAGAGCATATGGCAATGAAAAAGCCAAACGCCGGGATTGTTCGCCTGGAAACGGAGAACAGCATAGCCGCGACTTGGGATCTGGACAGTGTCACGCAAAGCAGCCCGGGATGTGTCATACAGACCGGAATTACAAACATTGAGTTTATGAGCGTCAACTGTGTCATTTTTCAACTCATTCGAGTCAGATTCTAAGTGTGGTGGGATTTTGTCAGTGAATGGGTTGTAGGAGCCCCAGCCAAATTCGGCTTGGTGTACTGCGAGTATGTAGAAGTGGTGTCCGTGCTAGAGTGGATATTAATTAGCAGATTATCACCGTTGCGTGGGGAAGGGGTCTTCGTACGAGGTGGAAAGGGTGAGATCCTTCATCAAGATTGTTGACTACTAGGTCTATCCATACTGGCTCTGGCTCCGTTATTATTGCGAATTGGTTTACATCCCACTTAGCTCGTGGTACAGAGGCCAATGGAACGGGTGGATCTTGCTGGGGCTTCCAGGTAGTTTGATTGAAGTAACCGAATGGCTTGTTGGAATATCGGGCCATTTTTTGAATTTTGGTGTACACCATGTGCGTTTGTTGCGCGGTGGGAGGAATAGAACGGAGAATAGAGGGCGCAGAAGGGGCTTCTCCGATGTTGAGATGGTGGGCCTTCAGTGGAGGTCCCACGACAGCATCGGAACGGTAGTTGATCGGGAAGGTTTGATCTGGCGTCAATGCCGGGTTGGCGTACTTGAAGCCACTGGTGAAACATTAGCAACCACCCGATAATTGCTGTAGTGTCTGTTCATACTCTTGATCCAACTGAACCCTCATGTGTGACTGTTTTTCAGAGGTCTTTAATAATGGCCGAAGAACAAAGTCCATGCGTTGCCCGGGGAATAGTATGCCGATGGAATTTACATTTGTCTCTTTGGAGCGTGCCACATCAATACTATCCGCCTGAAGCAGGTCCAGGAGGTGGTTGTCGAAAACGAGACTCAGCCCGGCTAGAGCTCTATCAACTGGTCAGCTAATAACCAATTTGGCTTTGATAGTCATATGGCATACCCGGTGTTGACCACACGAATTCGGTATGTCGCGTGAGGATCGAGGTCGATAAATGAATTATTCACCTGCTGATCAATACAGTCTACCGGCCTGGCGGGTACCGCCATCATGCAGTCAAAATACCCCGCCCCATTAATGAGCAAAGAATCAGGAACAGGCTAACAGTGTCAGATGGCACTCTCCAACGTTTGGGCCACACTTCGGAACTCACCTCGTTCCCGAAATTCCCTGGGTCCATGTACCATTCAAGAACATCACGCGCAGGGCGATGGTACCAGTCACCAATGAGAAGCAAAAGTTCTCTATCGTAAGTGTAACGGTAGGCATTATCGCGCCTCCGGGATATTAAGTCTCGAGCAGCCGACTTGGAAGTTGGTGCATGGACGACCAGCCCACCATAAAGGCCATCCGCCCGCGAGACCCCCGAATGGGCATGGTACCAGAAAGTACCACTCTGATCGGAAGGAATTGTCAAATTATAAACGAAATATCCTCCAGAAGGCACGGGACATTGTGAAATTCCCACTGCACCATCCATGGCGTCTATGTGGGTTAGCCCCAATACTTTTTAATTGAGATCTGACAGAGACCGATACTTACTAGCCACATGAAGGCCGTGCCAATGGATAGCAATTGATTCGTCTGGCAAGGCATTGGTAACAGTAATGATCAAGGTGTCACCAGAGCGGGCCTCCACCGTCGGTCCAGGGAACAGGTCTAGTTCGATATCCTCCGGTCAGATCGACAACGGTGATACCAGTCAGCTCTTTCCACTAACCGTTGATGAGATAGACCCGCTTCGATACCCCATCTGGTCTGCGGAAATCAGAGGTCACACGCCAATTTAAATATTGGGTCGCCGCTGGCCGGTACACATGATCTTCCGGGTGAAGCTCTATCCGCGGTCGAGCAGTGATGGCCTCATGTTCTTGAATGTTTTGATGATGCCGCCCAGGTAAAATCAAGGGCACAAGAAAGATGGATGATTGGAGAAAATATACCAATCCGATCAGTAAACATGCAGCCAATGAGCAGCCAACGATCGGCCATGGCCGCTGTGACAGCCTCGGCATTGGTCGAGGGGCCAATTGACCTGGACTGGGGACAGGTTTCCGACTGTGCTGCCTCTGCGTGGTTTGAAAGCAACTAAGATGAGTTGTACCTAGGTAACCAATTTAACTTTGAGCATATCAGATATGTAAAGAAGGTAAGTCCTAAGTGAGTGCCAGAGGAGAGAACATTCCGCGATATGACCTCATACCACCCTTGCTGTCAACGGGAAGCGACCTTACAGAAAGACATGCAACACACGTGCCTCTCTTGATCAATCAGAGCGAAGGTAAGATAATTAGTTGAACATAATATAGTATGTTGTATGTTGTACTCCATCCACTGAGTAAATAAATACAACGAGTGCATCCTAAAGTACCTCTGGCACCCTGGGACTAAACCAAAAGTAAACAAGATCGTTCCTGCCGAAAGTATGTTCCTGTTTAGCGTTGATCGACCCGTGGAACAGTACTTCACGTGGAGACAGCCGTATATCAGATTGGTTCAACAGTGCACCTGCACTTTTTCTTCCACTACCTAGGTATAACTCGATTTATATTGTATACGCGCATTATTCTATTGTGCATGATCGGCACCGTGCGTCACCAAGAATGTGAGCCCATCCCCGTGCTCTAATCCCTATATTTCGGTCTGGAGCTGTCACAAGGGGACCACGTCTGCAGATGGAACCAAGTCTCAAAGCTTGTTGAGGGGGATCCATAAGTACATACACCTAGTGCTATTCTTCACTTTATTTTCTCTGCTCTCCCATCCCTCGTTGAGGGGTATATAAGTAGTGGGCTCTTCTCTCAGTTGAATTCTCTCCCCCTTCATCCTTTTTGCAATTACCGGATCATGGCTTTCAAATTGCTGAAGTATACCGCCATCGCGGTACTTATAGAAGCTGTTCTCGTTTCTGGTGGGTCTTTAACCGACATCGAGCATGTCGTCATCTTCATGCAGGAGAATCGCTCGTGGGACACGGTACGTTTCCCCTGTGTTATGAACCGTTCACTCCGTACTCACTATATCGCAGTACTTTGGCACTATGCCCGGAGTCCGGGGCTTCAATGACCCCAACGTCCAGATTAACTCTGACGGAAACTCGGTATGGCATCAGTAAGTACTGGGCACTGGAGCTCTAAGGGAAGAAATTGGTTCTGATATTCCGTGTCAGACTAGTCGAACCGGCTCAGTCAAACAAGACCAAGACCCTGTTACCCTGGTATCTTGGATATCAAGGCGGCGATTGGCATGATGCAATTCAGTGCATGGTTGCGGGTAGCAACGGCTATGAGGAGAACCAACAGTCTCTAAACAACGGGTTGAACAACCACTGGGTGGCTAAAAACACACCTTGGAGCTGGGGTTACTTGAAGCGGCAAGACATTCCAGTTCAATTTGCTATTGCTGAAGGTTGGACTTCGGGAGACATGTATCAGGTGCGTGGCGAGAGTCGATTCCAAAGAAATTGGAGACTGATTTGCAAACAGGAAAGTCAAATCACTGCCACGAATCCTAACCGGGTTACTTTGGTCAGCGGCTCAATCAATGTTCCTGGCAGTCCCCAGGATAAGGACCAGGGAGGTGTATACATTGACAATAATGAGGTACCAGGTATGTATCATCAGTCATGTCTTAGCTGTTCCACGATCTGACCAAAATTATACAGGCTGCGATGATCACGGCATCAACTGCTACCCACTCAAATGGAAGACCATATATGACTTTTATGAAGAGGCAGGAGTCTCTTGGCAACTCTTCCAAGATACAAACAACTTCGATGATAACCCTCTGGCTTGGTTTGAGCAATTTCAAACTGCCCCGAAAAATAGCCCCCTAGCCAAAAAGGGGATGTCTTTTGTTGGCCTCGATTCCTTCTATCAGGCTGCCGCCAACGGCACATTGCCCGAGGTTAGCTTCATCGTTGGCCCGTCCGAGTTGTCTGAGCATCCACCATATATGCCAAAGGATGGAGCCTGGCTCCAGAAGAAGGTCGTCGATGCCGTCACCGGTAGCCCGAAGTATAACTCGACGCTTCTGATGATCAGCTTCGATGAGACTGGCGGCTTTGGTGACCATGTCACCCCCTTCCATTCCCCAAAAGACACCCCGGGAGATTGGATGCAGGATCCCCTGGGTATGTTCTCGGATATCTTTGTGGGGCCTGGTTTCCGAGTACCATTCTATATGATCTCTCCATGGACCCGAGGAAACCGCGTGTTCACTGAGCGGGCAGATCATAACTCTCAAATTATCTTCCTTGAGGAATGGCTGACAGCACGGGGACACAAAAATATCACAACCGATCAGATGGTTTCATGGCGACGCAAGCACATGTCTAACCTAGTCAACGCGCTTGATTTGGACCATCCAGACTACTCTCTCCCCAATCTTCCAGATGCCGGGACTGTTGATACCAACGACAAGGGCGAGTATACCGGTACATCTAACTGCCAGTCTCGTCACACGCAGACACGTCCTGATGTTCCATATGGAGAACAGAGCAACGCAACGGATGTCAATACCCTATGGTTTGAAGAGGGTTTCAAAGAAGTGGTCGGTTACCTCACCGAGGGCCGATACCTGGTTTTTGAGAAGAATGGAGGAGCCGTCACAAATCCGACCGGAGGAAACCAACTCGTGTCCAGCCCTGCAAGTCCTCAGCACACCAATAAGTCCCAGCGATGGGTAATCCACTACAACAATGACGAGGAAAGCCATATATTTACCATCTCCAGTGCATTGGATGGTCGGTGGGTCGGTCCCGACGGTGCTTTGCTTCCGAAAAGCCAGAGTGCAAATGCAGCTCAAGTGCATTTCGCCTTCTTAGGTAGTGGCCTTGGCTATACCATGCAGTTTGTGGAGAAAGGGCGGTACATTGACATTGACAAGCACGGACACTTAAATGCTGAAGGTAGCGATGCCAAACCCATCGGAGGCTACAAAGTCTTCAGCGTCTCCTTCCGTGATTAGATCGTTAGACCTCGCATTTTACGACGTTATGGAATTATACATGGTCATCCCGCGCCTAGTGGCCAAAACCCAATTATTTATAGTATCTTAATAACAAGGCTTGAATTATTCTCATCGGACAGGAGCCTGAACCCCAACTCAATATACATATGCTCCAATTTGTTTGCGCTATTGTAATTAGTAAAGAAATGGCAGTGATATTAGTGAGACGACTACCATTACACGCAAAAAATAAGATCATACCCCCTCTTCAGCCAAGTTGTAAATCGAGCTGAAGTCATCTATGCACGAATAACCGTAAATGGCCCAGCAGCGTTAAACAAGGAGGGCATCTGCATAATAGTGGTCAGCCCCTGAAACCAAGTAAAAGCCAAGATAAACACAGCCGGGAAGCAGATAATTCCACTCCAAAAAAAAAAAAAAGGGCAAAAGCGAAGAAAAAAAAATAAACCACCCAAAAAAATCAAAAGAAACTTACCTGTGGCGCAGATGAGAGAGAAGTCCCAACTCTCAAATACCAAAGCGATCCATCCTTGACTTGGGGCAAGTCCTTCGGGATAGTGATATCGACAAGACCCGCGTCCTCCTTGATACCGTCCGTAATCTTGATAGACTGATCGAAGGAGATGGTATCCAGGTTGCGCACAGGGTTATTGTACAGCCACACATTGTAGTCTTCGCCGGGGTACTGGCTCAATGGGTCTGGGCAGCGTCCGGTGGGCTTGCGGTCGAAGTGGACACGCACGGTTTGGCCAGCGGAGACGGTTGAGTTGTCGGGAATGCCTTGGTAGACGTTTACGCAGGCGTAGTCGCGTTTACCCCAGGCTAAATCATTACAAAGCAGGAATCGTTAGTTCGAAACGTTGTAGATGAGGATGGAATTGCATACGCTGGTTCTTGTCGAACAAGGCGGTGCTGGTTCCCACCAGGGAAGCGACGATTGCTGTGGTGAACTTCATTGTGAGATTGTGATTGTTCAATGGTAGATAAGAGGGAGGATTGTAGATGAAATATAATTCAACGTTTAAGAAGTTGGTGAGAACCGGGCTTTTATAAGTGAAATAGGGGGATATGTACTATATTTTGTCTGCAATATAGTGGATAGTGCCACTGACGACACAAAGTTCCCCTAATTATAGCTTCGGATCTAAAAAAAAAAAACACCGTCTATAAGATTTAAATGATCATGTTTCACTGAGTCTCTCTCCACATGGTCTTGAATTAAAACTCCGCCTGCTTGGCGTGAGCGGGGACGCGAGCTACGGAATGTGTACAAGTCTCATATATTATCTCATATATTATCCGGAGTACTCCGTATAAGTGGCATACATTCTATGCTCAGCCGAGCCTCTCTTCATAGAATATTGCCTCTGGGCTTATTTATGTTCGTCTCGTTCTTCTGTAATTACCCCTTGCTTTGTGGCCAGGGGACAACCTCAATCTATAGGTCTGCATACTATTATTAAGCTTGTCTAGTACAAACTGTATCATGTCGCCTGACAGGGTTGACTACTGATTTATCTTTTCAACCCAATGCATCTGTTTCTCGCTTTGTCCTTTCGCAGTTCTCGAACAGTTGGACCCAGTTTACCTGATATCTGAACAGAAGCTCTTGGCTGCATTGAATGTCTCAGAATATATCCAGCCAGCCATCCCTTTTACAGAAGAATTTTGGATGTTATCAAAGAGCGCGTTCTTATAAACTCATGTATTGTATATGAGGTTTCATAATTTGAGTGGTTTGCATTATAACCGATATAAACATTAGCCTCTTGGATTCTATGTCCTTGCTATTTTCACTCGCATTCTCATTCCATCCACTGGCTTGGAGGTAATCTCTAGTGTCTAAACCCTGTTAGTAAAATGCATATCGGTAAAACTGTGGAAACTCTTACATTATACAGCTTTGACTGAACTTCGTATTGTCCGTTTTCTTTTTCAATTGGCGCACCCGACTCATCTCGCTTGATCGAACCAAGTCCTACCTTCTCCCAATCATATCGCCGTGCCGCACATGCGAGAATGACAAGTGCTTCGATATTCGCTAGCTCCTGTCCAATGCAGTTGCGTGGTCCACGCTCGAACGGCCGCCAAGCACTCGCCGGTATGGTGGAGCCGGTTTCCAGCCAGCGTTGGGGAATAAACTGGTCGCTTTTGTCGCCATATATGGCTTGGTCGCGTTGTATGATACTCTGGCAGTTGTAGAGCATCAACCCATCCAGACACATATCTTGACCGTCTGGTAGTCGAACGCCTAGACCGGTGTTTGGGTTGGAAAATCGGGCTGTCGCAGCTGGTGGATACAGACGAAGAATTTCCTTGATAACGGCAGAGGTGTAGATCATTCTTTGGAGAACACTCTCTCCGTGTTCTAAGATTTGAGCTCGAATGTGGGTTGGGTGCGAGTTAGTGCCAAAGATCTCATCCAGTTCCAAACAAACACGGCGCAAGACGTGCGGAGTGCGAGCCAGTTCGTAGAATGTCCATTGTAGCAAGATGCTTGTTGTATCATGACCAGCAAATAGGAAAGTCTTGAGTTGGTCGCAAGTCCGGTCTAGAACTTCGGGTGTTAACTCATGTGTGTCAACTAGACTTAAAGCAAGGACACTGTGAGATGCATTGTGTGAAGTTGACTGCCGCTCAAACTTTTCCTTAATATGCTCTTTGATGTGCGCACCAAGTTGACGAGAAATTAACTTCCTTTGCAGAGGGAGTAATAATTTCCATCCACGGTGTCCGGAACGATAGGTCGAGCCTAGTTTGCGGAATAATCGAACGATTGCACTTTGGTTTTCTTCTCCGAGTTGAGCATTTAGATCAATATCCATGGTAACTGCACCGATAATGTCAAATGTCAAATTTGTACATAGCTCATCCAGTGGGAACTCCTCATTGGTGCTGGCATAACGATCGAGTCTCGTTAAGAAAAGTTGTGTCTTTTCTAGAATACATGGCAACATATTGATGAGGTGCTTGTGGGCAAATCCTGGATTGAACTGTTTGCGAAGGCTTTTCCATTCTTCATTCTAGACTCCGGTTAGTATAATCGATATGTGCTTCGGTCGGGCCTTCAACCTACCTCTGCAAGCACAATGGATAATGGACCCATCATGTCACTGTACGAGCGAGATGTGTGTGATTTGGGTGCACTGTACTGAAAGAGCTTGGAGCTTTTGGATATTTGCTCTGCAACGTCATGATCGCAGATCACGCACATAGGATGGCTCACTGGTCGCAAATCGACAATAAATAAAGCAGGTTTGCCGAGACCATGGTACATGGCTTGGAGGATCTCATCTAACCATCACAGTCAGTTTTATATTCCAAGCCCAAATGTGCCTAACCTGACCGATGTGTATATTGGGTCGATTTGTCTTCACGAGTTTCCCGAGCGTGGACAAATGGCCCCATAGTAGCGATGGTGGAAGCTGGGGAAACCCAGCATATTGTTTCGTTCGATAATATGTGGCCGTTTTCCAAAGATAAAAAAGAAGAATTGGAATGATCGTAGCAACTAGAGTCCAGGCCATCGTGAATATGACCAAACAGTTGTGAGAGAAGCTCTGCGGGTCGACGCCTATATGTTCTTTGCACACTAGGATCGGGTTTTAGTTTGAGCGAGAGGTGATAACTCGCTTAAATTGTGATAGAGGTACATTTGGGATGACAAGTACCTAACTAGGATGTATACTACTTCCCAGGTGTAGTCGGCAACTATCACCTTATATTAGGCTAACAAGAGTAAATGGTCTCTGTTCTCGGTGGTTTATCTGCCTTCGGATTATAATAGGGACGTTATAGGCATCATATGTAAGAGAACACTCCGATATGTTTTTTTAGTCGTTCTTTTAAGATATCTTATTACTATATTCCTTATTACAGATATCATTCCATACATACCTAGGTATGTAGTTATATGTTGTAACTGTTTTGATGACTCGAAACAATACCGTAGACCTCTTGAATACGGTAATTTACCAAGCTCCCCCTCGCTGATGTCCGATCCAACTTCCAACTTCCCCAACTTCTTCTTTATGTCAATAGTCCATGCCAACCTTGGAATTCTCCTAATAGGAGTCTGCAGTCTGCCCAAGACTTTGAGAATGCCCTGATCTCCCAGCATTGACATGTTATTTCCATACTGGTTAACACCCCCTACGAATGTTCCCAGGACTAGACCAGACCAAAGAAAGGCGTTCGATGCTCCTTTGACGCCAGGTCATCTCCCACATGCGACAAATTGAAAGCCATGAGTGCCATATACCTATGTGATCTATATCACTTCTCAGGCGACTTCCTAACAATGCGGCATTTCTTCTTTTTGCAACTGGTGCCGATAGCGAGAAAGCTATGGCAAATCCCCATAAAGTGTCATTGAGTACGCCATGAGTCGAGCGACCACTTGGATATTCCAAAATCCTTACGAGCCTTTAGGGATTACTTCCAGACTTGAAAGTGTTGCGATAAGTAGACCAGAAACACCAGGAACGGTGTCTGCCCGATTAACCAGGCACCCAACACAGTCACCTGAGCGATAAGCATCCAAATTTTTTCGCCACTTTTTTTTTTGGGGAACATATTCCCCCATCATTAAAAGAGACTGGGATCAAGGACTTTCTTTTACAGTGTTCCAGGTACTCCATGCTTCACTCTGGAGATTCCTTTAGCATTGAATTTCCCCAGATTTTTTTTCAATTTTTAGAAATCTGTGGGTAACATTCTCCAGGGACCAAATCCGATGAGACGTTTCCGTTCGCTTGTCAACCCGTCCACTGGTTTTAAGGGGTCCAATTATTTTCCCCCACCTTGGGGTTTCCCCCTTTGTCTTAAACAATCATTTCGCCTGGGGCACTTCTTCGGAAATAGCTTTCGCAACTGGTCGCGTGCTCAAAGAGATAAGCCCTTGAGCCTCCGTATCTTGGCTTACACGTGAAGATACCCTTCAAAATTCAGGTAGGCTCTATTATCTCCTTTTCCAACATCTTCCCGTGTGCGACTCTCATGTAGATAAGGAATCCACTGTATCGTGTGTTCGGGTTCTTCCATATAAGTACACGTTGTCCCCTTTGTAATTCCGTCTTCGAGGCGACTTTGATTCTTACCCCCCCCCAGCACCTCATTCGAATCATTCATCTTTCTTAATCCCTACCATACTAATTCCCCACAGACTCATATACTACGGCAGGCTTGGTTATCAGCTTCTTTGACCAAGGCCTTGCACACAAGTGGAATTGTTGTCGGCTCCCCGACGAAAATACACCTGAGACATTATCATCGAGATCACATGTCACCAAAGCCCATTGCGCAACCATCTTTCACCATGCCTTCTCTAGAGGATCACTCGGGTTTGAAGCATCGCGAGGACCAAGAGCAATCCACCAGACCCGAAGAAGATACCCAGCAGGGTCTATTCAACCAAGTATACGAATGGCTTCACCATGAGAAAACCAGACGACAGAATCGTAAAGCACGGAAAGCCGAAACAACTCCCCATGCAACAAACGAAATCCAGTCAGCCGACGAAGATGCTGTTTTAGAAAGACGCACCTCGGATATGTCCAACACCTCGGAGAGCACCTTTTCCCTGGATAAACTGGAAAAAATCCTCCTCCAATATGCGACTACTCGACCTAGAAGTGCAATGGGTTTCCCCCACAAACAACCTGTCAAACGACAATCTAAACATCGTCTTAGAGGCCTACGAAGAGGCTCGGCATCCGAGTCTGAACTCACAGATGTCGACGGGGCCCCTCCAAGCGTGGAAGCTTTCCTTGACAATACAAAGACGCTTGGCTACACCGGTGGCGCTGCAGTAGAAGAGATCGCCGACTCCAGTGCGAGTGTGAAACAAGCAAAGGATGCCGAGGCCTGGGTTGTTTTCAAGTCCGAGATCGTGCGTCTTGTGCATACCTTGCAACTGAAGGGCTGGCGCAGAGTTCCCGCAGATTTGGCGCCGGAGATTGAAGTGGTCAGGCTCAGCGGTGCTCTGACGAACGCTGTGTATGTAGTTGAACCGCCGAAGAACTTGCCTCCCCCGAAGACCGATAGCAACAGTCTGGTTTCAAGGAAGCCCCCACCGTAAGCAACAACTTGCCTCCCTCACTTCTGAGACACATCTAATGGGATTTACAGGAAGCTTCTCTTGCGTATCTACGGTCCTCAAGTCGATCACCTAATCGACCGAGAGAACGAGCTGCAAATTCTTCGTCGCCTCGGAAAGAAGAACATTGGCCCACGAATTCTTGGAACTTTCCTCAATGGCCGATTCGAAGAGTACTTTGAGGCTCGCCCACTCACTCCCAAGGAGCTGCGGATGCCCGAAACGGCGAGACAGGTTGCCAAGCGGATGAGAGAATTGCATGATGGCGTTGAACTTCTTGAAGAAGAACGCGAAGGCGGACCTATGATCTTCAAGAACTGGGACAAATGGGTGGACCGTTGCGAGCAAGTGATGACCTGGCTGGATAAAGAAATCCAATCTCCTCAGAACGAGGCCAAAGCTGCATTGGAGCCATGGCGTCGCCGCGGCTATGTCTGCGGCGTATCGTGGGATGTGTTTCGCAAAGCCGTGGATAACTACCGACGGTGGTTGGTTGCCAGCTCTGGTGGAGCTGCCGAGATCAAGCGACAGCTAGTATTTGCGCACAATGATGTAAGTTGTTTCTATCCCTCGCACGTTAACTGGGTTATTGACATGTTGTGTAGACTCAATATGGCAATCTACTTCGCATGGAGCCGGCCACGGAGTCACCACTGCTTTTGCCTGCAAATGAACACAAGCAGCTGATCGTTATCGACTTTGAGTACTCTTCTGCCAATACACGTGGACTCGAGTTCGCCAACCACTTTGTAAGTCCGCTAACTAACCCAATTGCCAAACCAAATTGGATGTTAACCGCAACAGACCGAGTGGTGCTACAACTACCACGATGAAGAGCGCTCATGGGCTTGCAACAACCGCAACTACCCGACATCGGACCAGCAGTACAATTTCGTGTCAACCTACCTCACCCACCGACCTTCTAGCGCGGGCGGACCTATTTCACCTCTGTCCTCGCCGACTATTCGCGCTCGCGCTCCCGTGGCGGTTGCACCATTGGACTTGGACGATGAGTCAGAAAGACCCAGCTCACGGCTTTCGCAAAATGAGCCGTCTAAGGAGGCTGAACTTGACGCAGAGGTGCGATTCCTCATGCAGCAGACCCGGATGTGGCGGGCGATGAACTCCGCGCAATGGGTGGCTTGGGGTATTGTCCAGGCCAAGGTGCCTGGCATGGAAGAAGGTATTGCTGAGATGCTTGCTGCTCGCAACGGGCTAAGCGAAAACGGCAATGACGATGACACTAAGACGCCGCCTGTGGATGCGGATGTCGACGAAGAAGATGACGGCGACTTTGATTACCTAGCTTACGCGCAGGACCGAGTCATGTTCTTCTGGGGTGATCTGCTGTCACTGAACTTGGTCAAAGCAGAGGAACTGCCTGCGCCTCTATTGGAGCACATCAAGTCGCGACTTGTCACATACTAAGAATGGAGGAGTATTAATAATGATCTTCAGGATGGAGACTTGTTTATACACATTATCATGTTTTACAATGTGGACGCCAGTACATAACTATATCACTACGTCAAATCGGTGATTTATCACACCTACATGTATTTATTACACTATAGCGTTGGGGTTTCAACATCATCATCGAATACCATATCTTGTCTTATTTCATTTCATTTTGATCATCCTCGTCATCTCACAAAGGGTATCTGAAATGTCATCGTAGAAAATCAGAAATAGAAGAGAAAAAAAGGCCCAGCTCTCTACCGGCGCATCTCAAGCTTCTTCCTCGTCTCCCTCTTCGCACTCTCAACCCACTCCTCATATGCCTTCCCCTCAGGATCCTTCTCCTTAACCCCAACAACCCCCTTCATAACCTCCCCAATAAACCCAACGAAATTACACCGTCTGAGCGTATTCTCCCACTGCCACGCAGCCCTCTTCCCTCTCCTCCCTCTCAAGCGTCTCCACATCCCCAATATCCCTCGCTCTCTCCCTCGGATCCCTCACAACAGCCATAAGATTAAAATGCGTTTCCTCAGGCGGGTACCGCGCAATCCGCCTCTGCAAAACCTCAATAACCTTCTCAGGGAACTCCCCAGTCCCACACTCCCCATGGCTAATAGGATACGGCTGCAGCCCATCAAGCTCATACAGCGTACCATTGACAGGCGTATAGGCAATGAAGTGGTAAACGTCCGCGCCCTTCTCATCATCCTGCGGACGGGCCGTCTCATCCGCAAACGGACTCGACCGCGCAAAACTATTGTGCGCGCTCCGGATGGCTTCCGAGTTCGAGAGCGCTTCGCCGCGAAGCTCAGGCGGGAATCCCGTCGTGAATTCTTTGAAGGAGCGCAGCTCTTCGCCCAGCTCAATTGCTGGCTGCGAGGCGGGTGGGTTGTCGTGGTTGAGGATTACGGAGAGGATGGCTTGTGTTCCGCAGGCGTTTTGGATTGTCTGGCTGGCGAAGAAAAGGTTGTTGTCTGTGGCGGTTTGGTCGTAGGTTCCGTCGATGGGGGCTTCGGCGCGTGCGCCGGATGCTTCGCGTGTCCATTTGAAGAGGAAGATTACGCCGTAGACTGGGCTGTTTGAGAGGTTTGGAGTTAGCTTTGGTTGGGAGTGTTTTCTTGGGAGGTTTGGATGTGGTGGGATTGCGGGTTATGGGACGTCGGGTTTGCTTACCCTAGTGACCGTATTGTGTCTGGATCTAGGGAGATGAGCTCTTCGAACTGGGTGTTTTTTACTCCGAGTGTCTCGATCAGAGAGGTGAAGAGACCCTAGCTTGTGTTAGTATGCTGCTGCTTGGATAGATCATGGGTGTGGTGATGGTACCTCATCTGACTCGATGGTGCTCCAGCCACCTACATCAGCCATTTTGACTGTCTGTGATGGGATGCTGAGGGCGATTGAATGGAAGATGTTGAGTTGGAGGTTGGAGGTTGGAGGTTGCTTTCTTCCCCAAATAGGAATGCGGTTATGTCATTATCACGTGAAGTTAGATAGCCTCAAGTCACGTGTATCTCCACTATAAAGTAGACGGGGTCACTATCCTTTTCTACCAGATTGGGAAGAACATGCAAGACAGAATTATTGAACTGTGGCCGTATTAGAACTTAGGCAAAAGGAATGGAGTTTCCATGATCTTAAGGGCTCAATTCTCAATTAGAGCAAAGATGTACTCTGCAGAAAGCCAGTATACACAACAACATTCATAGATATCAACAAGAGCTATTAGTTATACTTGTTCCTCGACTTTTGAACAAACTTACTACTCAATACTAAGCCAATTAGCAGAATATCTTCGAAAAGGGAAATGAAAAGCAGAACCAGCAGTAAATTCCAGCAGCCAGCTCTCATGGGATGTTAATGAACAGAAAGGAAACGAAGGTAAACAGCCGGATATTCCCGATCTTCAAACCAAAAAGTCGCAGTAGCCACCGTTAGAATAAGACAGGCCCCATTTCCGGCATCTTAATCTGGTGTTGATGCTAAATATCTCGAGTTAGAGGTATGTTTTGGGCGATAAGAGGGAAAACGGGGGTCTTGTAGTAAGTGATACTCAAATACGGAGTAGATATTAAGTAACTATAGTTAGCACCCTTCTGAGGTTGGAAGTAGGCCTAAACTACCTATCATCCATTTATATTATGCGCACTATGCCAAGTCTATTAATGGCGGTTTGGCCGAGTGGTCTAAGGCGATTGAGTATGTTTCTCGTCATCAAAACAAATCCACCAAAACATTCACTAACAATTCCAACAGCTTGAATTAGAAATCAATTCCGTTCGCGGGCGCATGTTCGAACCATGCAGCCGTCGTTATGCATCTTTTTTTCCTTTAATTTTTTCGTAATTTCTTTTTAATTGATTTGCCAGTCGTAGTTTCTCTGAAAACTTTTATCAGTTGAGTATTCTGAGGAAAAAGAAAACATGGAATGAACGGATTGAATGCCAAGACAATAAATAGTTCAAGACGATGCAGTAACTCCAAACAGTGTTGGGAACCATTAAATATGGAAGCCTCCGGTGAAACATCCTGCGAAACATCCTGATTTTCCCTCCCTACTTTCAAATCTATAGCCTTGCAGCTCCTTATACCGATAGGACCCCCTTCAATCTCAAAGGAATATCTCGATCAATTCCGAAGAAAACATCCCGAGATCAAATACCTTCGGTTCCAATGGCAAGACTATTCGGGTATTCTCCGGGGACGGGTTATCCTTATAGATACAGCCATAGTCCAGATTGCTAACGGGAGCCCCCTTAAGGCCACCGGGATGGCACTGGGTATCTGTGTTGCAAATAAGTTAATTCCTATGGTCCCCTTCGACGGCTAGTACTGGATGACTCCGGACTAGTCAACGCTTCATCTAACAGCTAGCTAGGTAGTGCGTAGGTTATATACGCGTTGGACTGACTATACGGAGTCGGCTATGAATTCTGTCAACCGAGTTATATGTGTCCGCGCTATGCACTCAACGGAGTCTTACTCCGGGTATAGGAAGGCTAGGGCTTGACTTTCTTAGTATGGCTCGAGGTGGAATTCGTGGTAATAAAAGCTAGCCCAAGCATAGGAAAAATGGAGAAGTGTAGCGAAGGCTATGGCTTGTTCTCTATATCCGGCTTACGGGATCCGTGCTACCAGTATGTTGAGCAATATGTCGATCAGCTCCAGGCCTTAGGCGTGGACTTTCAGGCGGTACACACGGAAGGTCTTCGAGGGCAATACGAGTTCGCCTTAGGACCTCGGCCGCCCCTCGAAGCAGTGGACCAATTAGTGCTAGTACCTATGATAGCCACCTCAAAGACACCTTTGCTCGCCATGGCTACATGGTAACTATGTTCCCCAAGCCTATGGCTTCAGGACCTCTAGCGACGGGCCAGTATACGCACATTTCGCTATAACCTGCTAGCCCCGAGCTCGATAAGTCCTTCCTCGCGGGCATTCTCAAACGCCTTCTAGCCCTCTGCAGTTTCTGCCTATCATAAGACATCTCCTATGAACGATTGGTACTACTTGCAGGCGGCGGAAATACGGTTAGCTGGGGGACTGAATCTCGAGTTGCGCCAATCCGCAAGATCAAGCCGGGCCACTGGGAGATTCGAAATATCGATGCAATGGCCAATATGTATTGCACTCTCGCTGCCATCATTAGCGCTGGTCTTTGTGGTCTGGCTGGCCGTGAACCACTTTCATGGCCTGACATACATAACCCAGCAAACAAAGACGCTGGTCTAGGCGAGCCACTTGTACGCCTCCTCGGTGGAGAGAACCGGAAGTCAAATATTGTTTTTAGGAGGCCTCCCGCGTTACTACTATCAAAGCCCTAGTCTTTTAAACGCTCGCTAATGCAGGACTCACTTATTACACAGACCGATCGAAGAATATCCGATCACCCGTCGTTCAAGGACGGTGGCGCGACTGGAACGATGTGGGAAATTTCCTTCCTTAGCGCTATGAGCGGATGATCACATTATTCGGTTCAGTCCCTTAGGGTCGATGGTCAACAGTGGACGGATGATGTTTTTTAGTAAACATCTCGGAAGTAGTAGGTCATATTTTGCCTTCCGACAGCAACGATCAGGGAAAAGACGGTCAATACGATGCATATCACGCAGAAGAGAGGTTGATAGCATACTTCGTTGATCGCTATGTTTTCCTCCTACGTGATAACCTCCTAGGCTTAGAACTAGCGGAAAGGATTGAGTTGAAAGAGGATGAGCTTTAGGGATTCTTTTCAAGCACCGAAACATGACGCCAGCTCATGTCTCTCGGAAAGAGAAAGAAAGACCTGGAAAATGAGCATTTCGACGGGGACGAAAAGCTCGTCTGAAAACATACCGAAATCCGGGCACTGGAGTTGGAGCTCAAGTCTGTTAAAACAGCCCTGACCCAGCTAATTGCTAGCCCCTGGGCCAGAAAGCCAACTGGAGATTATAGATCAGCGACTACGCAAACATACTGATCTAATCGATATAGCCAAGGATCAACGACTACGCAAATATTCTATGGCTAAGGCTAAGGCGCTACCTTCATTAACCGAGGCGGTCATATTGATCAGTTGTCATCCTTGTCCGGACTGCATCATGTTTAAGGACGAAGTCAACAAGTTCTTTAAGTTCTTTAAGTTGTCTATACGATTGTTTGCGGTAGTTTGACGGCCTATGACCTTTCCAGATATTAACACAATTTTGATTATATCATTTCCGCTTCATAACTAAGAGCATAGTAGAGTTTTAGATATAAATCAAATATACTAAGGGCAAGGATTACAGCAGAAGAAAATATACAACGACGGCTGCATCATATATAACTTGTAACTAAATTCCATCAATACCTAATTCATAGGGGGTCACGTCCCCTAACATTAACTCGATTACCTTTTTAGATGACCTTGGCATGGCATAACGTTAGAGAATATATCTAGCAAAATATAACCCAACCAGGCAAATTTTGTTACTATGTGCGTTTTCTTTCTCTTTGTATAGCCATTCTGGCCCAAAAACTTCATCAAATGGCGGTTTGGCCGAGTGGTCTAAGGCGATTGAGTACGTTTCTCTTCAAAACAAATCCACCAAAACATTCACTAACAATTCCAACAGCTAGAAATCAATTCCGTTCGCGGGCGCATGTTCGAATCATGCAGCCGTCGTTGCATTCTTTTTTTTCTCTTTTTTTCCGCTTATCTTTTGCTAAACCGGGCTGGAAGTAGGATAAAGTCGAAAGAAATAGTATAATAACCTTCCTATTCGGTTGTTATAAGTGGTTGGTAGAACGTCTGTGTTTTGAGAGTATCCTTAAAACCCTTATAGAAAAATGTTTCCTACCTAGGTACATTATTTGCATCCATGTGTAATCTGATTGGGAATAAGAATACAATTAGTAGGAGCTTGACTGCCTCTTTCGTAGCTTTCAACATTATTACAGATTAATGCTAATCCTATTGTCCATTCAGATGATGTTATGCGTAACTTTTGTTTGATTCGACTATTTTGAGGGATATCTATTTTATCCCTACATACTGAAGAGTCCTAACCGAGGTATTATTGAATGCCTCGAATGTTTCAACCAAAAAGAAAATCAATGCTCCAGGCATCTCGTTATTTCATCAGTCTCGTAAAGCACTTAGAACTTAAGGACAGCCTTGCCCAAGTTCTTGCCGTGGAAGATGCCAATCAGGCCGTCAGCAGCGTTGTCAATGCCTTCGGTCTCATGGATGAGGACCTTGAATGAGCCATCCTTGATCCACTTCTGCACATTTTCCTGGTGCTCCTTAGCGTAAATATCACCCATGCCCTTATCACCGACGATGAAACCGCGCATCGTAATACGCTTGACGAGGACATTGTGGATGTTCTTGATGGGGTATGGTGCAGCGTTGTACTGGGAGATTAAACCGCAGACGACGATACGGCCGAAGTTGTTCAAAGCATCGAGGGCAGCCTCGAGGTGCTCTCCACCGACGTTCTCGTAGTAAATGTCAATGCCCTCGGGAGCGAGACGGGCAAGGGCATCGGCGGGCTTCTCGGTCTTATAGTTGAAACCGCCATCGAACTTAAGCGTCTTGGTGATATACTCGAGCTTCTCGTCCGAGCCGACGGATCCAATGACGCGCAGACCCTCGTGCTTAGCGAGCTGACCGACCAGCTGACCGACGGCTCCACTAGCAGCGGAGACGAAGATAGTCTCGCCCTTCTTAGGCTTACCGATCTCGTAAAGAGAAGAGTATGCGGTCAGACCGGGCATACCTAGGGGACCGAGGAAGACACGGATGTCCTCGAGGCCGAGAGGGTTTTCCAGCTTTTGGATGCGGACTAGGTCCTGCTCGCCGAGAGCGATGTACTCCTGAATTGAAACATGTCCAATGACGAGATCACCTTCCTTGTAACTGGCATTGTTGGAGCGTACGATCTTGCCGATGGTACGGCTGTCAATGGGCTTGTCGAGGGCGAAGGCGGGGGCGTATGACTTGGCCTCAGCGGAGCGCATGCGGCCACGCATGTAGGGGTCGAAGCTGGTGTAGAGAGACTGTAGGACGACACCATTGTCGGGAGCGGCAACGCTAGCATCGTAGGCGGCAGACTCGACGGCTAGGTGCTCCCCAGCAATGGGGTATGCCTGGGGAATCTTCTTGAATGTGAGGGTCTTGTTTGCAGACATTATGAAGGTATGTATGTGGTAGGAAGGATAAAGATAGGAATAGGAAATTGCCGACGTATTGTTGGGAGCTCTCTTTATATATGACGATTGAGCTGTTCATTAAAGCGGGGCTGTACCGAGGACCGAATGCAATTCTTTCTTTTTTTATTATTTCTTTGATTTATAATTATAAACCTGATGAATTTTGGAGAAGTTTCTCGAGATACTAGTGATATTCCAGTTGATGAGCTCCACTATCTACGGCTTCGGCTTTGATATGCATAATTTAGTATATGCTCTTGGTCCTAGTGCACTCAACAATTGTATGATGAACACATAACTGTGGCAACGGAACCAGCATTTTGTTCAAAAACAGTGGGGAACGGATGAATTCAAGACATCTGAGGCCGACGGAGACAGCCATTTTGGGTAGGAAAACCGTGACCCTCGGCAGACCAAAAAGGTGGAAAAATATTTGTTGATTAATATACAGCCCCGATGATACAATGATTGTTAAGCAACGGAGCAGTCGGCCGTTTTTGGATAAAGCGGGTATACTTATTTATTGTAAGTGTTCTGTTTTAAAAGACATTCGCACTCTTGGATTGGAAAAAAAATTATGCATTAAGTACATGAGTATGTAGTCATTGCCGGAATATGTACCAGCATACTGAACCATGAAAATGTGCGAAATTGAATATGTCCTAATCACGCCTGGGGATACCTTAAGCCTTGCCAGCAAGTGCACCAGCGGCCTTTTCAATAAAGTAGTGCTTGCCCTTGATCATCTTGACCATGAAGCTGAAAGCCACAATTCCGAAAACCTGACCCGTACCACCAGCTTCACCAACGGGTACAAGCATCATAATGTTGTCGCCCTGTTCATAGGTCTTGATGGCAGTGCCGCCTACAATGGCGGCTTTGAGGTTGGCAGCCGCCACATGCGCTTGCTCCACAGCCTTGAAACTGAGGCGCATTGAGTTGTTGGTGATATCGCCAGCAGCAAAGATAGGCAGAGTTGACCCGTCAGTCGACTGAACACGCATCTCTTTGTTCACTGTCACCCAGCCGTCCTTGTCCAGGAACTGAGCTGGAATGAAACTGTTGTTGGGGGTCGCACCGGTAGTGGGGATATAGAGGTCAGCCGAAATCTTGTCTCCGTCTTCCAAAGAGACTGTCCAGTTGGAACTATCGTCGGCCGGAGTCTCGACACCAACCACTCGCTTCGAGGTCACGACCTTGATCTTCTTCTGCTCTAGCATCCTGCGTGCGGCAGAGCTGGCGGATGACTTGAGCATCGGGAGCACGCGATCTGTTGCCGAGATAAGCGTGATGGAGACCTTGCCAGCATTGGCACTTTGTTCCACTGCTTCAGCAAGCTCGCCAGCCAACTCAACACCAATAGGACCTGCACCGCCAATCACAATCTCCTTCGCCCCCGCAATGTGTTCCTGTGCCGACTCGATCAGCTGCTCCATATCATTGTGGTTCGACTGCTTGAATGGAATGGATGTGCCGGTGAGCGAGCCCGTAGTGGCAGATGTAGTGCTGCCCGATGCGATAACGAGGTAATCATATGATAGGGTCTTGGGCTCGCCCTCATTTGGGGTCACGGAGACCGACTTGGCAGCTGTATCGATGGCAGTTGCAACTCCAGGAAGGAACTCGAACGCGTCGGGCCGGTAGCCTGCAAAGGCATCCTTGATTGGGAGAAAGTACTGCTCGGGGCGGAAGGCCTTGGGTTTGGCGACAATGCGTGGGGCGGCAATATTCCAGTAGAAGCTGGTTGAGGGGTTGATCAGCACAACCTTTGCATCAGGTACATCACGAAGCACAGAGTGAGCAATATGAAGGCCTGCAAATGAGCCTCCAATGACGACTATATCGATAGGTGCCATGATATAGAACCAGTGAAGTGAACAAGGGTGAGTTTGTTGTTTTGTTTTGGGGAGAACCTTGGAAGGGACGGGATGGGAAGTCTTATGTGACAAATTGGATTTGTTATCTGCGCGTACATGCAGGGTCAGCAATAGTCCTAAGATGTGTATATTGTCCGTTGTCAGCCCTCTGGCGCCAATTGAAAAAGAATGGTGTTTGTTAGTCAATTCTACCTAAATGCTGACCAACTTCATTTTTTCCAAAGTTGGCTGGCTTTTCAGTGATAATTTGCTTTGATTGGTTCACCTTCTCCAACGTTTCCAAAGCTTCCAAGGTTCTTGGGCTGAACCTTAGATTTGATGTGTTTGATGTGTTTGATTAGTTTGCTTCGTTTGAAGAACTGGTATGCTACCTATGCACATACACATACATGAAAGGAAGAAGTAGGAAG